TTTTGTCATAGAAAAATGAACTGTTTTCAATTGACACATACAATTGAATATCTTATATATAGTGTCAAATAGAAGTCAACATTTTTTTTCTCTAAAGAGTAATGTGATTCGTAACACAGTAGGAAACCACCTTGTTAAGATTTTAACTTTCGTATATACATACGTTCGATGTTTTTTTTCATCGTCATTAGACTTTATCTTTCAATACTGAAATAAAAAAAGGAAATGAGAATGCCACTATCTAATTTGACATACTAACACCGAATCATGCCATGAACATCCGTAAAATGCACATGCACACCTTGATTATCATAGAATTAGACTAAAGATATGTATGTGTGTGTATGTTTTGTGTGAGAATGAGCAAATCACATTTGACAAACGTTTCCGATTTGAATGAACTTGCGTACTTTGTACTTATTTGAGAACGAAATGAAGTGCATAAGATGAATGTGATAGAAAAGGAAATTGATCGTTTCCGTCAACAGAGTAGATATAAAAGTACACACCCGCTCTTTTTCATCTTCATCCATTATAAATTTTCCTTTTTCTTTTTTTTTTAATATAAACTAAATATATTAAAATGATGATTCGTAAATAAACAACCTATTAATTATAATAATTCTAGACACTTATTTCAATTTGTCTTTCTTTTCTTTTTTTTTTACTTTATTATCATCATTTGATGAAGGAGACGTCTCATACATCTTCTCCTCTCTCTTTATTATCTCTATTCAACTGACTGATTGAACTGAGTATAAGTTGTATTATTGGTGCGCATGTCATGTAAAACTTGAGTCTCTTGAGAGAGTAAAATGAACGCGGATTACCATGACAGTTCGATTGCTGATGAATGTTCTCATGGGATAAAGAAAAAGAAAGAAAAAGAGTTAGACTAAAGAACAACAGGCGATGAAGACGACAAGTGACATGCAACAATCTTTTTCTTTTTGTTGTTGTTCTATTGAGATGGATAAGAAACACACACTATTGCTATTCGATACACACACACATGTCGACACCAAATGGTTTATTCATGATTATTTGTTATACTAAATGTAGATGAAAGAAAGGCACAAATGATGATTCTCGTTTTCTTTTACTAACACGCACACTGCAATATAATAATAGATATAAAGAAATATGTATTTTAAATATATATCTGTAAATAACATATGAATACAAAATCATTCTCTAATACATATACAAAGTTAAAGTGTCGCTCAATATTTTGTACTCAACATAATCATCTATCTTTTTCTGTAGTGTATTTCTACTAAATAAAACTTATTCATTAATATCTAGATCAAAAATACGATTTGTGAAAAATATGCTTCCGGATATTTGTTTGAAGTTTTAGTAAAATCACTTCTCCGGTTTTTGAAAGGATACAATTCAGTAAACAATACGTTGAATATCATCGTTGTACAAGCAATCAAATTTATAAGCATTTATTACTGATGTTCTATTTAATATTTTCAATGATTATTCAACAAGCAACTACATGTATTGGCTTTTTAAGGATAATCCTATGAGTATATTGATAATTTTCATTCTTAGAGAAATGTTTAAAGAATGAATGAAAATTACGATAATTAAAAAGGTATTATACGGACTTATCTCGATCTAAAAAAATGTTTTAGTTTAACATGAATCTTATATTTATGGAAAATTAATGTTTTTTAAGTCAATATAGAGCTCGTTTCTTCAATTCCTATTCCAAGGAAACTTTTCTTTATTTGTATCGATGTCTATCACAGTTTGCATAGTCGTATGATTAGGCATGGGCGATATCACATCAGAATCGGCAAGTCTGAATTCGACCCTGATGCTTACAGAATTTAAACTATACGAGTCCGATCTCAAGATACAATAATTTTGGTATCGTTACCGTTTCTGATTATATTGTTTTAAAAAATAAAATCTTAAATTAATTGTTCCGGATTTGAATGATTCCAAAGCATAACAAAAGTAATTAAAAAAAACAAGGACCTATTAATTAATAATAACAATTAAATGTTTTTCATGTAAACGAAAAGAAGGAGGAGCACTCATATCATACAAAATTCAGAGAATTTTAACATAGGTGATTTCGATGCTGATCTTTAAAATTGATTTTCATGATTCCGATGCGATTCTAAAGAAACTTCTTGGCAGTTCTAGGGGTAGGGCAGTTCGCAGTTCCAAGTTCAGATGAACTGGTCAAAAGAACTACCAGTTCAGTTCTTTTGAATGGCACCGAACTGAACCAACAGTTCAGTTCCTTTCAAAAGAACAATTAAACAGTTCCCAAGAACGGAACTAATATGGAACTGTCCTACCCCTAACCAGTTCCACTCCGGTTTCCAATGTAAAAAAATTAAATTTTTCGATTACGATATGATACTAAAAGTAAAAAAACTCTTAACGATCCGGATCCGAGTCCAAAAAAGTCTGATTTTGCCCATCGCGAGGTATGATAATCTTATTTTAATCAAGGTTAGAAATGATTCCTAGGTTCTTTATACAATAAATCTTCCACTACAATTAATGAAGAAAAAAAACACAAGTTATTAAAAGTAAAAAATTTGGTTTAGTACATTTATAATCAATACACACACGCAAATAAAATTCCAAAAGTATCATTCGTTATTTTAACTAATGTTTTCAAACCAAATTTGAAAACTAAACCAATATATGAAAATGGAAGGTAAACTAAAACTAGTTTTCATAAACATGAATATAAATTATTAAGATATAAAAAGAAAAAACAAATTATGTCTCTCTCTGAGAATAAATATTCCAAAATTTAAGGTAAATCTACACGTTTTTTGCGTATATGTGTTGGACTTGTAGCACGAGCCATTGTTCGACTAACTGTTTGCATTGTTTGAGCCATTTGTGACATATCATCCCAACGTTGTGATTGAATTAAATCTTCAAGTGATTTAAGACGATCAATTTCTTGAACACGACGTTCAAGTTCTTCAATTTCAATTCGTAATTTACTTGCTAAGTTTTCTTCATTAGCCAACTAAAAGTTAAAACATAAATTAAATTATTTTATTAAAAATTAAATTTTTATACCTGTTGTTGTAATGTACTAATACGAATTGTTAATTGATCTTTATCATGAAGGAGAAGATTAATTTCATCTTGTAAACGAGTATTACGTATATGATATTCATTTGATTCACGTTTTGCAGTCAATGCATTTTGAGTTTCAATATTTAGTTGTCTTTGTAATTGTTTAAGCTAGAGAAGAAAAGGAAAAGGAAATCTTACAAAAATAATATTTTATTTTACTTGTCCATCAAGATCTTTATTTCGAACTAATTCTGTATCTAATTGTATTTGAAGATTGTCAACTGTACTTCGAAATGTATGTTCTTTCTTTCGTAAACCAGCAAGTTCTTGTTCTTTTAATTGTAATACATCTGTACGTTCACGTAATGCAAGACGAAGCTATAAAATAAAAGAATTCTTTTTACCTCTAGCAAAAGAAAACAAAATATTTTGTTTTTACTTCTTCTAATTCTCGTTCAAATTCTTTGCCTAATGCTTCTAATCGTTTTACTTCTTTTAATAAAGCAACTTTTTCATCAGCTAACTAAACAAAAAAGAAAAAGTCAAAATAAATAATAATAGATTAAAAGTAAAAATATTTAATTACTTTACTACGAAGAAATTGAGTCTCATTATATCGAGTATCTTGTGCTTTTGCATCTTGTCGAAGTATTTTAATATCTTTCTAATATGAAAAAAGTAATGATTGATTTTTGTTGAAAAAAAGAGTATTTATAAGAATACGAACTTCTAATTCAGCAACGATTCCTTGTAAACGATCTCTATCCCGACCAACTATATGATGATCGTTAAGACTTCGTTGTAAATTACTTGTTTCTAATTTACTATGATGAAGTTCATCAGTTAAAATTTTATTCTGATTTAATTGTTGTTCGAACTGAAAGAAAAAAATTTATCAATAGAGAAAAATGTTGTCGTTTTTATATTAAAAATAAAACCTGTTGTTCTAAAATTCGAACTTTATCATGAGCATTTTTTAATTCATCAGACGATACTCGTGTTCGATCACGAAGTTGTCGTAGTTCTTGATCATGTAAACGTTTTTCTTGTTCAAGTGCATCTTTTGCTCGCCGTAAATTATCCAATTCAGTGAGTAAATTTTGTTTGTCAATATCAAATTTTCCTGTGTAATAAAAAATGTTAATGATAATTTGAAAAAAAAAGTCTTACGACGAAGTTCATCCAATGCTAATGTTAGACCATGATTTTCACTTGATATTTGTTCGAATTGAGATGTTGTTTGTACAAGACTTCGTTGTAAATCAGAACGTTCATGTTCAGCTTGATGTGAACGATGAGCTAATGTTGAAGTTTTATTTAACTGGTCACGCGTATACGAATAGTTAAGGAAAAAACTTATTTTATGTTTAAAAAAAAGAAGAAAATCTACTATTATTTGAATGAAAAAAAGAAAATCAAAATAGAAAAGGATATAGATATCGACATTCGGTTTCCAAATAGTAGACTTGTTCTTGTAATTGTTTAATGTATTCATCTTCGAGACCTTGCACTACGGATTTTGATAATTTATTTTGTGTAGTAAGTGATTGACTAGAAAATATATGTTTAGATGATTAAATAATATTCAGTGTAAGTCACAGTAGGTTTTTAAAGCACTTTTATTGAGTACTGAAGTTTTACGAGTGTTCACTTTAATATGACCTCATAGAAAAAGTTAGATATAATTCAATGTCAAGAATGAGTGGTTTTAGTCACGCAAGTTCAGTCTGATTGGGTATACAAATACTTTTGTCAATAAGACTAGTGGGAATAGTTTGTTGAATATTGATCAGTTTCAAATCGTATACAATGTTATTATACAATATACAAAAGATCTATGCTAGTTTTCGCTTTTGAAATTTTTAAGTTTTCATTGTGGCCTTGATCTTAAAGTGACTTTTTCTATATTGAATCCGAGAGAATCTTGAATACATATTTTTTAGTATAGAAAAGGATTCGCAATTTTGGATAAAGCTATTGTTTATCATCTTGCACATCTCTACTTAGCAATCATAAGGATATATACTAAGCATATGATCAAATTAAATGAATGTGTAGATAGACTCCACACTTAATAATTTAAAAGTTGAAGTTGTAACAATGAATAAACACGTTAGATTATTTGTCGAACACTTCAACACATTTCGAAGTCACTGTAATCTATTGAAAACTCTCGAAATCCTATAGATTTCTATCTTATATTTAAATTGACACGCAGTTCTTTCTTTTGTGATGCTTATCATTCTATTACTATTGTTATATATAAATCAATATTTGTATCAATAAAATCATCAAAAGTTAATAGTTGAAACATTACGATTACGCATATATTTGCATTCATAATAGATGTATGAATAAAATTAAAAAAAAAGATATTATGTTTCTTTACTTTAAATCTTGTTTAGAAGTGTTTCGTTTAGCACTAGTTGATCGATTTAAACTTGTTTTTGTTGTTTTCCATGTTTGTGAATTTAATGCTGGTGCTGAACAAACAGAACATTTTTGTACCGTTAATGTCGACATCTAAAAAAGTAAATTTTGTAACTTAACCTATTTACTACTTCATTTTCTTTTGCTTCTTCAAATATATTTATATAACAGGTTGCCACTAAACCACAATCTTACAGGTATATTCATCAAAAGGTTATTTCTTCAATTCTCCTTGACAATCCTCACTTCATTTCAACATACAAAGAAGTGTCGCTAGTTGCCCCTAGTCGTTTTTTTTCATTTGGCTCTTTTTTTAACCGATAAGAAAAAACGTCAATGCACAGTATTTATTATTTTCCTACGTCATTTATATTTTTACTTGACATCAATAACGATTCATGGCTCAGCCTACTGAAACATACGGTACATGATTAATTATATTAACCATTAATTATATTTTTTTTATTTTAATTTTATTCAGAATATCTATTTAAATTTCTTATAATCGGTAGTGCATCTACAGGAAAATCCTGTATATTACATCAATTTCTTGAAAATAAATGTAACCTATTTCTTTGAATAAAAATCAATTAATTATTTCGAAAAATTCTATTTCAGTTAAAACCGATATAACACATACAATCGGTGCCGAATTTGGCTCTAAAGTTATAAATATTAATCAAAAAAATGTTAAATTACAAATATGGGATGTATGTTTATACCAACATAAGTTTCTATTTTCTATTCTTTTTGTTCTACATATAGACAGCTGGCCAAGAAAGATTTCGTTCAGTTACACGTAGTTATTATCGTGGTGCATCTGGTGCTTTATTAGTGTATGACATTGCAAAGTAAAATAAATAGATTTCTTTGATAAAGTTTTTTCTTTTAATTTATTTCTATTAGTCGAGAAAGTTATAATGCTGTTGCAAATTGGTTATCTGATGCTCGTTCATTAGCCAGTCCAAATATTGTAATTATTTTATGTGGAAATAAAAAAGATTTAGAAGATCAAAGACAGGTTACCTTTCTTGAAGCTAGTCGATTTGCAGAAGAAAATGGTAAATTTTTGTTTTATTTATATAAAACAATGTATAATTGATTTTATTAAAGATTTAATGTTTCTCGAAACATCGGCAATGACAAATGAAAACGTAACCGAATGTTTTCTTAAATGTGCACGTGTAATTTTAAGCAAAATTGATTCAGGTCATTAAATTTCCATTATTTTCAATCTTATAAACTTTTAATTTTTATTTTCAGGTAGTATTGATCCATATCGAATGTATTCTGGCATTCAATTTAATCGATCACTTGCTGCTAATCAATTTGATCTTAATCAAAATAATAATTCAGCTAATGATAGAATACAAAAATCATCAAATAGTTGTACATCTTGTTAATATTGTGATTATATCATTCTTCGAGATCTGAGATATATTTTTCAATTTCTAATATAACGAATATTTCTCTATTGAAAAAACTAAAAACATCATTTTTTATGTATAATCTGATATCTATATAGTACATTCCTTTCGTATTACAAATAATGACATTTTATTTATTTGTGCTGCTATATTGATACTAACGCTTCGTTTTTTTTTTCTTCTCTAAATGTTGTTTTGCCTTTATTTATGTGTGTATGTTTGCTTATTAAGTTCATACGCATTGATGACATTTTATTTATATATATATAAATCGATTTCAATCTCATAGAAAACATTTTTTTAACATACTATAAACTCGAAACAAAAATTAATATTTTTATCAGTCTACATTTGATTATTGATTTCTTAAACTTCGTAGTTTATATCTCCTATGTGCTATTAGTTATAAAATTTTGACATTTTATATCATAATAAATCAAGTTTTTTTTTCTCGAGGAATAGTAGTTCATAACCAAGTATTCTATTCAGTTTATGATTATATACAATTTCTTATGAAAATGTGTAATATTTCGATTGTTGCTATGAAATTATAGAGTAATAATGATAATTATTTTTTCTTAGGACAAACACCCGATGATCAAATGGGCGTGGGAATCTTTTATAATAATCGACAAACTCGTCGTTTAACAGGAACATTTAATGTACCGTCAGATTTAAATATTAAAAAACAAAAATCTACTTGTGCAAAATGTAATTAATGCAATATGGTTTTTTATTTATATAAAAATTATTTTTATATATTAATGATAATAATAAAAAAATTACTCTTATCCATTAGAAGTATATAAATGCAAATTCCGGTACACTTAAAATAGGAAGTTATTAAAATTTCAAATCAAAGAGAAGTAAAACATTGTTTTAATGCAAAAAAAAATATTCTCGTTTGTTGAAGCATCATATATCTTCATATTAGTCAATTCTAAGATAATGATGAACGTGTTGATGAGATGTTCCTTGTAGTTACCATTCTAATGCATAGAATTTACATCCGAAATTAATAATGATGGAAAATATAGATGACAATAGTTGAAGAAAATTCCTTATCTTGTTTTTCTCTTTTCGCCATTTTTCTTTTCTAACAATCTATTGTTATCCAGCTATAAACAATGTCAATCGTGTTGAATTAACACAGCATGCAGTTAGATTATAGTTTATATACTGGCATAACTGTAGTTTGACACTGATAATTATTTATAATAGTTTGAATAATTCTTGAAATAATGTACAACATTTCTATGAATTCTATTATTCTTGCACTACTTTTGATTGATGTAAATTTTTACAAAACAAAAATAATGGATCCATTACTCGATTACAACATACGTGTTTTTTTCTTAGTTAAATATGATCAATGTCTATAAATAGTTCAGACAAACGATAAATAATTTAAGTGTTTAAGAAATTAAAAGTTAGCATGACGTTGTCGGTGATATTTAAATATGAGTTTTGTTTATTTTCTCACTCTAAATATAGATCTTTCGTTTCTCTTCTTTTTTGCAGTTCGAAGTCGAACTATTTACACTGCTGTTTTTTCTTTCTTTCCGATTTTTTAAGGCCTGTCAATGTAAGGAATATATTGCGCCCGCTTTTCTTTCTGGGTACTCGTAACATCGAGAGAGAAAGAGAGAAAAAGAATACTTCGGTACATTGATCCCGAAAACATGGATATATATATTCTTGTTGTATTCTGCGTACAACATAGCATTTTTAAACTATCAGAATCTCTACAACATGTCATCTAAGAAAATCACTATCGGTAACTATTTACTTCGACGTTTAAGAGATCTTGGAATTGATATTATCTTTGGAGTACCTGGTGATTATAATCTAGTAAGATACTTTTTTTAAATCATATTCATTATCAAATATTCTTAATTTTCATCTTTGTTAGCCATTTCTTGATCAAATCGAAGGTAGAGTATTATCATGACAACTTCTTTTTATTAGTCATACTTTTTAATTAGATTTTGGTAGTATACAATGGGGTAATAACTGCAATGAATTAAATGCATCGTATGCAGCGGATGGTTATGCACGTATTCGAGGCATAGGAGTATGAACTAATTTATAAAGTATATATATATATTCTTTAATATTATTTAATAGGCTCTTGTAACTACATTCGGTGTTGGAGAATTATCAGCTATCAATGGTAAGATTTGATTTAATTGAAGTTTTATTTCTAATAGATTTCTGTTCTCTTCCCTATTAGGTATTGCTGGTTCATATGCTGAAATGGTTCCAGTAGTTCATATTGTTGGAACACCACCAACAGCTTCTCAAGCTAGTGGAGCTATTCTTCATCATACACTTGGTAATGGGGATTTCCGAGCATTTGCAAATATGTATAAAGAAGTGACTGTAAGTATTAGTTTGATTTATATCCAAATTTATATTTTTAATAAAGATTGCTCAAGCAAATTTAACAAAAACAAATGCTGCAGAAGAAATCGATCGTGTTCTCACTCAATGGTAAGAATTTTTTATTTCTTTGTTATCAAAATTTAAAATCAATCGTTTGTTTTTGAATTAATTTCTAGTTTACTCAAAGGTCGACCAGTTTATATTGGATTAGCAGTAGATCTTAGCGATTTTGAACTTAATATTGATCCATCTGACATAAAACCATTAAATTTATCAATTCCACGTAATCCAAAAGATGATCATGAAGCCGCTATCGAAGCTATTATTGATGCTGCTAAAAAAGCTCAAAATATTATTGTTATTGTCGACGCGTAAGAATGATAATTTTGTATTTTTTAAATATTCTATCGTTTTTGGTCTATAGTTGTGCAATTCGACATGAAATGATGAAAAAAGTTTTCACATTTCTTGAACGAACTCAATTACCTGTTTATGTTACACCCATGGCTAAAGGCGGTATTGATGAAGATCATCCGCAATTTCGTGGTGTTTTTGCAGGAAATTGTTCAACTGAACCAGTACAAAAAGAAGTTTATAATGCAGACCTTATACTATCGATTGGTTCAATGAATAGTGATTTTAATACTGGTGGTTTTACTTATCGTTTATCTCAAAAGAAAACAATTGGTAAATTATTATTATGAGTTCTTAATATAATTTATTAATTCTTATATATTTAGAATTTCATACATATCATACGAAAGTTTTCTATGCTATTTATGATAAAATTGATATGCGTCAATTATTACCTGATTTAACGGAACAATGGCCCGCTGAACTTATTCGTCAAAATAATGCAAAACCTGTTGAAATCCCACCACCAGTATTAAATGAAAAATCTGATGAAATTATACATGAATATTTTTGGAATAAATTACCAGATTTTATTCCAGAAAATTCTATTGTTGTTGCAGAGACGGGTACATCTGAATTTGGTAGATTCAATTAATTAATAAATATATTTAAGATAGAATAATAATAATTTTTAGGTGTATTTAATATGCGTGCACCAAAAGGTGTAACATTTTTAACTCAAATTTTATGGGGTTCAATTGGATATTCTGTTGGTGCAGCTTTAGGTGCTTCATTAGCTGGAAAAAATGATAATCGTCGAGTTTTTATTTTAGTTGGAGATGGTTCTTTTCAAGTAAAATTATTCAAAGAAAATATAATAATAAATTTTATTCTTTCTATTATTCTTAGCTTGTTTGTCAAGAAGTTTCATCTATGTTACGTTTTAAAACCAATTTAGTTGTTTTATTATTAAATAATGATGGTTATACAATTGAAAAACTTATTCATGGACCTGATCGTGCTTATAATAATATTCAAATGTGGCGTTATCATAAGAGTTTTGAATATTTTGGTAATGGATTAAAACAAAATCGTGAACAAGCAATAACAGGCTTTGCTGATCAAGTTAAAACTCGTGAAGAATTCGAAAAAGCAATGCAACAAGTAGTTAAAGAAACAGATAAAATACATTTTCTTGAAGTTATCATGCCACCTATGGATGCACCAAAAAGTTTAGTTCTTACGATTGAAGGTACACGAGAATACAAACGCCGAGAACGTGAAACTCAAGAATAATCTCATAGTTAATAAATTCAAATTTTTTTTTTGATTAATCTATTTATGTATCCTAGCAAGATTTATTTTAGTTAATAAAATGAATATTTCGTACCGGTGTAGTAGAAGTATTAAAATAGAATCATATATTTTCTTTATATATAATGATATAATTTGCATACGTCAACAACAGAAAGTCTAGATGAAAAAAAAGATTGTTTTCTCCATCTGTGGGCAATCTTGAATATTTATTCAATTGAATAAAAACTATGTTTATGGTTTTTCTTATTTCGAAATTATCTTTAAGTATTTGAATGATGTCTTTTCATATGATGGGATATATAAGATGATACAAAAATTCTGGAACTTCGTTCTAACCTTTAACGAAAATGACATTTCATAGTAGGGTTCATCCTTATCACTCACTCTTGAGATATCATTGTAAATTTAACACTATATATTGAATTGATCTTCTTAATTATTGATAGAATTTTATTAGTACTTTTAGCGTTCAATAATTTAGAGATGGTCGAATCTGCTATTGCAATAGTGAATGATAATTATTCTCAAAATACAAGCTATCAAAGGGAATTTGTCCTATAAGCGGCATTTATTATTAACGATATTAAACGCAACAATATACGTTAAACTTTCTTGATATCTATCAGACCATTATTCATCATTTAGTGAATTCTATAATAATGCATAAATATTTTGAGTCAAAAATATAAGATCTTATCAAGGAGAAAGATATTTTAATGACTGTATTCAATCCGCTTTCAGTATGGGTTTTTGCGCAATATGTAAAATAGCGTTATTATGTACTTCAAAGCGAAAGATACGCAATTAAAGTTTGTCAAGTATACTCAATCCTCACTGCATCATTTCATTAGAGGTAATAATTAGTGAGATCAATTTTTTATTATCAAAGAATATATCAAGAGTAAGTGATCAGGATGAAATCTATCACAACAACTACTACGAATATATGGTTGAGAGGAATAAACGACATGTTATTTTTAGATATGACCCAAACCTAAACTGTTTGAGTTTGGTGAGTTTGGGTTTGTGCTTTTTTAATCTGTAGAAGATACTATTTTGGATACATTGATGGCAATTAAAAGAAGACCCAAACCCAAACCCAGGCTCACACTCCCAAACGGTTTGAATTCGAGTTTGGATTTGGGTCATGTCTAGCCATTTTCAAGAATCAATAAATCGAAGCTCGAAAGCTCTTGGATTAATGGTGTCTGAAGACTTATTTTGGACGGGACGATAGCACTATGACCCGTTCATCTCTGTTGTGCATTCTATCAGTATGATTTTCGATTACCTCAATTTCGAGATCTAGGAGTATTTTTTTATCGTATATTCATTTATTTTTTTCATAAAAAAAAATAAAATCTTCACAAAAAACAAAATCATTATCGAAGTTGCATTCAATAATAGATATATTTTTATTCTATTATTAGTTTAATTCACTGAAAGAATTTAAATATGTCATTATCTTTTAACAACAAAAGGTTTTAGTGCATCTTCAGATAATGAACTATCCATTGAATCTGAAGATGACGATGACGGTGATGGTGGTCTGGGCGGTGGTTTTCTTGACGATATAGCAGGCAATACTGGTTTTATTCGTCTTCGATTTAATAATAAGGCATCATTATGTTTTTCAATCATAGATTTAGTTGTGTCATTAAATATAGTATTCGATTGAAATTCTAATGGTGATTCTTGTGGACGATGATTTAAAGTTGAAAAACTTCTTTTCTGTTCTATAAACTTTTCTGCAGCTTTCAATCGATCATTTGCTACTGTATTTGTCGACATATTTTTATTTGGTACTATTTTCTTTTTTTCATTTTCTGCATTCTCTTTTTTCATTAATTCCATTACATTATCAATAACATCTAATTTTGTTAAAAATTCTTTCACATTCATTTCTAAATCTCCAATCATTGTTATATCATGTTGTCTTGGAGATAAAAATGCTCCAACAATTTGACGATTTATTAAAAGACGTACTGTTGAACGTGATACTGAATTAACAATATCAGAAAATGGTGCAACAGCTAATGATGTACCCATAACAATACAACAATCACATGCAGGTAAATCACGTAAATACATATCAAATCGATTTGGAAGATCTTCACCAAAAAAAACAATATCCGGTTTAATAACACCAGTACATCGCGATCTTTTTGTACATTTTGGTATTTGATCATCATATATTTGTTGTCGAATATCTTCACAGACATATTTTTGATTACATCGTTGACATGTTGCAGTTAGAAATGTTCCATGTGCTTCAACAATTTTATCTGCTGGAATTCCAGCCACTAGAAAAATACAAAATTAAAAAACTAAATATTTTGTTTTGTTTTTGAAATATTTTTTTGATTTTTATTAATTTACTTCGTTCAAGTCCATCGATATTTTGTGTATAAACACGAAGAAGAATATTTTGATCATGTAAATAACGAATAAAATAATGAATTATATTTGGAAGATATCTGCCAGGATAAAGTTCTTTTGCTAAATGAAAAAATGGCTTTGGATTCCGATAGAAATAATCTAATTCAAATATTGCTTCAGGATATGGAATATTATAACGTTGAAGATTATCATATAAACCAGTACCAGGTGTACTAAATATAATAAAAATTTATTGATTGAATATTCTAGAAAGATTACCGAAAATCAGGTATACCACTTGGTGTTGAAATACCTGCACCAGCAAGAATAACTATTCGTTTATATTTGCCAGCTTTAATGGATTCAATCAGATTATTAAGTGGAGAAGGTTTAGCTGAGGCTTGTTGATTAGTACTAAAAACAAAAATCTCAAAAATATGTAGAAAATTTGTTAAGAAAATTCTTACGTTTTAGTAGCAATTTGAACTTTTGAGAATTTATTTGATAAATCTTTTAAACCTGATCTTGCATTATTCTGTACCGAACGAGTTTGAGAAAAATTACGAGACATGAAAACTAAAATTAAACATATAATTGAAAAATTAAGACTAGTTATTATTTTATTATGAACAAAATGGAACTGTAATTAATTAAGATTATTTTTCTTCATTTCAGACTTATGAAAATATCGGATTCTCGAATTTTGCCAGTATCATTATGTAACTACACATGTATAAAAATAGCTCCTAGGAACTATATTGAGGAGTTTAAACTACGATATGCTTGTTCTAATAATATTAGGTTAGTTCTTTGAATGTATTCTATACTAATCTTATGTTATTACAGTTGGCGAATGTCCATTGTAATTTCCCGTCCTCTATACCTGAGCTTTTTTCCATCGTAGATTAAAATGAACTAATTGAACGGCTTCACAATGTGAGAAAATCTTCAGGCATGTAAGCTTTATTGAACCACTTGCTTCAAGATCTACAGTTTAACTTTACTAATGGCATTCGTTGCGAAAAGTAGGTATTTGAAGTTGAGACAAAATAACTTCTCCCATCTACTTCGCTAATTCTCTACTAAATGAATAAATCTAACTAGATCTTATATCAAGCGACAGAATTCAGTTAATAGAGTAACTGCAAGCATTCAACTTCAACATTATCGAACACTGCTGGGCAAGTACGGACTTTCTCGAGTACGAGTACCAGCACAAGTACTGACCCTTCGAATATAAGTACGAGTATGAGTACCGACCCTTCGAGTACCAGTACGAGTACTATTAGATTGTGTCAGAGGTAGTTATGACCTTCTGAAATAGCTAATAGGAGAACTAGATTTTTAGTTTCATAACATAATATGTACATATTTCCAAAGTACACGAAAACATACCAATGTTTTTATAAACTTAATGACATAAAATTCAAAATTTATATTATCGAGTACTACTACGAGTACCAGTGCTAAATCTTCGAGAATGAGTACGATCACTTCGAGTATTTTGCTCAGGTCTGCTATTGAATTTTCACGGTTTTACATAAGATTTAACTAACTGATATATCATTCCGAATTCTTTACTATGATCAAATCAATTCAACTTACAAAATAGACCGTATGTTTTACTAGAAAAAACAATCGATTTCATATAATCTAAAAGAAAGAAATAAGATTATCATTTCTAGAATGTATATATATATCTTTTGTTTTTATTAACTACAAGAAAGTGATAACATTTAATTAAATTAAAAAAAATACATGCAGTGGAATATAATAAAGATGGAATGTATAAAGAAATAATCAATGTACATTAGTAAGAATTTGATTCGATGAATTATAAAGGCGCTTGTTCAGTTGAAAAACTATCGCGAATATTTGTCCAACTTTTTAAAGCCTTAAAAAGAAATGAAAATTATTCAAAACAAAAAATAATATTTTCATATAAAAACAAACTGCTTTAGCTATTCGAGCTTGAAGAAGACAATATGAACGAAGAATTTCACGCATTTGTTCTTCTTTCATTGTTTTATAAAAATCAAGTTCAATTATTGCATTTTTATTAAATTCTCTAAAGAAAAAAATAAATAAATTCGAATTTCACCTTTTAATTTATTTTACTTCACACGAATATCAGCATTTTGACAATGTAAAACAGCATCATTGATATCTGAATCCATGCCTTCAATTTTGGCATAACGTGTTTCTTCATTTTCACCAAATAATTTTAATTTAAGAGAATTAACTGAAAAATTCATTTTACCATTTGCCTAAAAATGCATATATACATAAGAGATAAATAAATCAAATTTCAATTTACATAAGCATCTCTTTGAGTACGTTTAGTACCAAGTGATGTTTCCTGTTTAGAATTATCATCAACTAATTGTTCATGTTTTTCAACAACAGACCTTAACAAACAAATTTTATAATAAATCAATTTAGAATAGTTTTATTACTTAATAACATCACAATAGGATGCTTGATGTTTAAGAAAATCCATTAAAGCATCTTCTTCATGTAGATATTCTTCGATTTGACCAGAAAAACTATTGAATAGAAAAAAATATGAGAAAAATTATGAGATTTTTATTGTACCTATCAAGAAAATGTCCGGCTCGTTGTAATGAATCACCAAGTTTATCTTCTGTTGTACTCCATTCACTAAATAATCGACCGAGTTGATTATGAGCTTGATAGAATATAAATATTCGATCAGCAAGTTTCTAAATTTTAAGAATAATTCAATTAATTAAGAGAAAAATCAGTTATCTAACTTACAGCACGTGCTCGAAGAACATTATATAAAACAGTATTTAAATCTATTGCATATTGATATGCATCAGAAAATCGTCTAAATATATAAAATATTAAAAAGGATAAAATTATTTCTATTAACATACTTATCCTTTGTTCTTTCATGTTGCATTAAATTAAGTTTAAATGATGGAATTAATGATTCCGACTAGAAATAAAAATTAAATATTTATCAAGGGAAGAAATAATTTGACTTCAAAGATTCTAGTATATTATTCTCACAATCTAAATTTAGATAATATTTGTTTTTCTATATGCTTGATGAGAATGTAGCTGCTCATGTTTCCCGTACAACAAATAGTCACACATACAGGGTATTGATTAGACATGAGCCAAACCCAAACCATTTGAGAGTTTGAGTTTGAGTTTGGGTCTCCTTTTAATTGCCATCAATGTATCCAAAATAGTATCTTCTACCGATTAAAAAAGCACAAACTCAAACAGTTTTGGCTTGGGTCATGTCTATCTGCAATATGTATCATTTTTCTATCCTAATTCAAAGAGAAAATTATCATTACAACAAAACTAGATTTACAATAGAAAGTACGACCTTTTTTTTATCTATTATTATTCATACACGCAATAATATTAGTTATGAAAGTTGACTGTTTAAAAATATAATTCTCATGAATTAACAAGTAATATATAATGGTATTTAAATTTTCTGACATTCTTAGTCTTGCATTAATAAATATTTAATCATCCATATAGATTCGATTCTTCCTGTTTTTTCTATTATCAAAGCTAAATATTTTATTATAGATGAATGTGCATTCATATGTGTTCAAAGGCATTAGTAGTATAGAAATACTGATTAAAAACAATGGTCTATAATTATAGATGAAATTATAAGTCATCATAATCGAAAAGAATGTTTTACGCAGATAACAATATCTAATTAAGAATATTACTTTATTAAGAACATGACTTGTATCTACAATTTGTTTCCAACCATCATTTTGAAGTAGAAATGTTTGAACAGCTGTATCCGCTGATAATGTTGGATGAGCACATAGATGATGAAGAAAACGCTAAGAAAAATATATTTTTTGTTATTTTTATTTTTGGAAAAATTAAATTTTACTTCAAGTAAAACACGTCGTCGTTCAACAACTTCTACACTTGTTCGATCTTGATGCGATTTTGACCATGTATGCGAAATCTTTTAGAAAATAAAAATATTAAGTATAATGAATAATCTTCTTCTTTGTCTTACTGTTTTTTCAGGTAAAACAGGTACAATAACCCAAGAATATTTTGCAACAAGATAATTGCGTAATGTTTCAAAATCAGAATAACGACGAAAGACACATGTTGATTCACTATCTTTATTATTTGAAACTGATGCTTTTGGTCTACAAAATATTCAATATTTATAATTAAATTATTGATAAATTAAACAAACCGGCATTCAATTAAATAAACAATATAACAATCTTGTATTGCAATACTTGAATTACGTCGTTCAGTATTTGATATTTGAATATCATATCGATCAAATAATGTTGAATTATCTTCAGTCATCTAAAACAATTTTTGTTTTCTAGTTACTGTATAATATCTTTTTGAACGCGCCTGATAAAATAAAAATACGAAAACAAAAAAATTCAATTCCTATTCATAAATAAAAATCTTCACTTTCCATAATTAAACTTCTTTTCCAAAGTTTTTTTGTATCAATTCTATATATCTATATATTTCCTATATTTCTGTTCATTATCGATATGCATTAATCGTATTATTTTATCGATAAAATTATATTCATTCAAAATTAAATATTTTATTCGAATCAAAATGAATTCAATTGAAAATCAAAGTTCAGGTGATTCATCTCATTTATATATGAATTATCATCTAACTAATACTACTAAAGAAGGTATGCCTATATTTTATCTCGAACCAGGAACTAGTTTAGCAAATACTATTGATGAACATAAATCAAATGAAATTATACAACCAGTTTCATCAATATTAAGTCATACAGAATCAAATAACGATAGTGAAAGACAATCATTAAATGAATCTGATAATTGTAAGTCTAAGAAAGATTTACAAAAAAACAAAAATATTTTTCTTAATAGTAAAATATAAAACAGAATTATGTCGTAATTTTTCTACTTATGGTCTTTGTTCGTATTCATCTCGTTGTCAATTTGCTCATGGTCTTGAAGAATTACGTTGTCGAACTCGACATCCAAAATATAAAACAGAATTTTGTCGAAATTTTCTTTCGGGTTATTGTAAATATGGATCTCGTTGTCAATTTTTACATAATTTAGACGACTCAAAAGATGCTCTATCATCAAATGAATCATCAACAATAGTTTATCCTACAGCTGGTAGAAAAATATTCTAGTTTATTAATATAATTAAGCTTTTATTTAAATTAAATAGCTACAATTGGAGCTTATTTACTCACAAATATGCTTGCTCAATCAACTACATTTGGTCTAGGAGAATCCGTTGTTCAACAATCAGCTTTAGCTACACTTACAAACTATCATATGAAATCTAATCCTTCACTTCTTACTTCAACATATCTACCAAATGAATCTTCTTTTCGACGAATACCTATTCCATTGAATTGTGGTATTGAAATGCAACAAAATCCACATCTTTATTTATCTCCGAATATTTTTCATGGAATTTCAATACCACAAAATCAAAATAATAATAATGAATATCAATTATCTACATCATATTTACATAATCAAACTTTTGATCATAATACAAAATGAATAAGACAATTGTCTGCATATATATATATATTTAATCTGAAATATGTAAATGATTAAATTAATTGTCTGAAGACTTTTGATAGTAATAATTACGAATAGGGTTTTTGTTTTGTTTCACTAACCCGAAGATATGATTAAAATATTTTAAATATAGATTTCTTCTTTTATAATAAAAAAAACATTTGTAAAGATTAACTAGATTATGATTTGTTTTATAGGATGTCATGCGGTTCGCTTCTCATAAAAACTTTCAAGTACAAATTTTAATTAGCATAGAATCATTTTAGCTAATCGTATTAGGTGATCATATAAATACAATAGAAAAACATGAAATTTTTGAATATTATTTTATATATATTTGATAAGATATAGCACAATAAAAAAGAAAGCAAGAGATTTTTTGTTAAGCAATATTTTTATAACGAATAATTTCCGTTGGTTTTTCTAAAAGACTTCGAAGTTCTTCAGTCACTTTTTTTATAAGTTCTCCATTTAAATGTTCGTCAAGTGCTTGTTCAGTTGACCAGGCTTGATATAGAGAAACTTGGCATTTATGATACTTATTGTTAAGTAATTCATATTTAAGACATGCTTCATCTTTCTTTGCTTCAGGTACCAGATCAAATAAAATCTTTTTTGCTTCTTTCGCTTTTTCAGGTATTGGCCAAAGATTGGCCATAGCATAAACAATTTGTTTTGTATCCAGATCTGCCATCTATAATAAAAAAATTTAAAATTTTGTTAAATACTCGATGAACGCTTCATATATTTCATTGTCAGTTCTGTCATAGTTATTTTCTAATAAAAATAGAAATTTAAAAAATGAAAGTCTTTATATTATAGTTGTCAACATCTGTCAAGTAGATGAAAAGAAGAGAAAAGAAAAGAAAAGAAAAGAGAAGAAAAGAAAAGATAGTTTATACATTAAATATCAGATTCATTTAGAGAAATTCTGTGTTTTCTCTAACGAGATACTTGAAACGTCAACTTTTATTCTATTCAGTATAACAGTTTTCTTTTTGAAAAAAAAAGAGAAGAACAAAACTCTGCTAGAATCATAATAGAAAAAAGCTCGAGGCGACAAAAAAAAGGCCTATTACATTAACTTACTAAGCTGTTTTTTTCATGTAGAGAAGGAAGAAAAAACTGAAGGTAGGGAAATGTAAGAAACCGGCTCCTCTTTCTCTTCTTCGTTCTTCATATCTAACACACTACCTTCCTTATCTGTGTTCATCATCTATCTGAGACGCTTTCTGACGATGAAAATTAAGAGTAGAAAAGAGGAAAAAAGGAAACATTTACGGTTTTTTGCTTAACTCATTTTACAATTATCATCATCTATATCAAACATTCGTTTCTTGGTTACTCAATTTATTACAATAAAATTTTATTTTAGTCTTTATATCACTTACCAAAATGTCCAATCGAGTAATACATTGTGTTCTTGATTTTTTTGCTAAACCTGGATCTGAAGAAAAAGTACGTACAATATTATTAAGTGTACTCGAAAGAGCACGTAAAGAAGATGGATGTTTAAAACATAAATTATTTCAAAATATGGCTGATCCTTGTCAATTTACATTCATTGGAGCATGGGAAAGTGAAGATGCATTGGAAGATCATTTAACATCAGATCAATATCGTAAAGCAGATTCTGATATAAAAAAAGATGTAACAAGACCTATGGATCAAAAACGTTATAAATATATACAAAATGATCCTAGTCTAGTACCCGATACAAAAGCAAGTGGTTTTTGTACACTAATCTAATTTTACAGAAAAAAATGAAAAATAAAAATAAAAATAAAAATTGACTTGTTTTTTTGTTTTTTATTTATTCTGTATTCACTCATTCTTCTACAATTCTTTTTTGTGGTTTATATATATTCAATAAAAATGACAACATTAAATTCTACAAAACATAAATATGACTAGATTAATTTATTCTTAAACCTTGAAACACTAATTTTGATAAAACATTCGTTTCTGTTTTAGTTTTTTGATTTTTTGATAGACGCCATTGACGAAATGCTGGCATATTATCAAGAACATCTGCTGGAATAAATGTAAAATGTACACATTCTCCTCGTTGAGTATTTATATTTTCAGTTTTTGTTTTTGGTTGACTCGATATTTGACGTAAATTGTATAGTTTTTTTGCAACATTTTCAAGTTCATCATGATATTCAACATTCTAAAAATAACAAAACTATGTAAAATATAAAACTCTTCATGTTTTTTTACTTTATAATTTTGTTTTGGAACATTTTCAAAACCATATATAGCTCCAAATAAGGCACCTGCTACACATCCTGTTGCATCTCCATGACCACCATGTAAAGCTGCTCGTTTACATAATTCCGTCCATGAACCATGGCATGTTAATAGGGAATTATAACTATATAAATAACAAAAAAATTCCTTTGATATTTCATTTAGTTTTTTTTGTCCTACGCTATGGCAATACAATCTGTTCCACTTGCACCTGCCCAACCAGCATGTGAAAATTGTCGATAGAATTCATCACGTTGTTCAATATCTTTAATATTAATTTCTTGTTTAATTAAAAATTCTTTCCAGAATATTTCAAAAGACGACCTAGATTAAGAAAGTTTATAAATTTTAAATTAATTGCTATTGAAGATAATATAAGTGGAAAAATGAATATTTAATATGGTATTGAAATTGATAATAGAAAAAGAACAAAAGTATATAAAATGATATCTTATGTCTAATTATATATCTTTAATAAAGAAATTTGATATTTTTTAATTTTTTGCAATACGTATAATTCGAGTACAATTAAAATGATTATAAATTCTACGTAGTTTTAATATCATGTTCAAAGATATTTTGTTTCTATATAATTGGGTGAAACTAATAATCGTATTAAATTATCTTCTTACTTATCGATACAAATAGAATTTGAGCTAATGAAGGACGATTCATGTATATGAATCATTAGAATATGTTGAGTCAAGATTGTTTGAAATATATCTAAAATGGGTTATTCCCGATATGAATAACTTGAAAGTGCTAGGAATACAGTTTTGGTTCTGATGGATTCTAAAGAATACGAACTAGTCATGGATCTAGAAAACTAGTAAAGTAATAGTTGTTGATTAACAAAAATAATTGTGAAAGTTAAAAGAACAGTTCATACAGTCTATTTAAAGTATTTCTACTAAAAAGTAGTAGACAACACTCGCTCCTTTTCATCACGTAATTTTTCTACTCATATCGACATTTATTGACTATAATTTATAGCCAGATGAAAGACTAATAATCATAATTCCAGCTTAAATAAATTCTTCTAATACACATGTAACATGTGATGTTGTCAATTTAAACTAAAGATGCTTTATGAGATACTACGCATAAGTATTTAAATTAGGAGTCGCTCTCGAAGTCAGATAAACCTCGTGTCAATGATTCATTTTTAACATTAAAGATTATTTAAGTTCACAGTTTTATTGTCCGACATTTTCTCTACAAACTGATATATATTCAAGGATTAGTCGACGTCTTACGAATCAAAATAAAACACAGAAAAAGTCGGAGATGAAAGCGACTTCGATTTTCTTCTGTGCTAGTGAGGTCCACCAAAACATCAACTGATCCTTGAAAATACATCAATTTGTAGAGAAAATATCGGACAACAAAACCATGAGCTTTACCTGACTACGACGGCGACTCCATGTAAGACTCTAATTTAAATCCATAATAGTATGAAAAGACTATCACAACCGTTTATCAAAATTTTGATTAACTTTAAACACAAACTAAGAAAAGATCTCCGATGATATTCTTTAAGAAATTTACTGAATCTATTAGTAATCAATATAAATGATTAGCGTTAAACTGCTTGAAAAACATGAGAAGGATAATTCATTTCAAGATATGAAATAACCCACACGATATTTTGGTATTTATTTCTAAAAAAAATTAATTTTATAATTTTATAAGTATTTCAAATCTCTTAACTAAATCATTTTTTATAAACTCTTATAAACCTTTGCAAAATAGATAATAAAAGATGTATTTTCTTACCAACTTCTCATATTTTGCGCAAGATCTGGTCGTTGTTGAGTTTTTATATAATTTTGTACAGTTGGTAAAATTTCTAATAAACATCTACTCCATGTTTGAAGTGGTTTTTGTTGTATAGCATACGATGTAAATAATGCTGAAGTAAAACCACCCATAAATCCCCATACATGTGTATGTGTCATACGTGATATTTCAATTGAAACGTGCATTAATTTTTCAAATTCCGATGGATGAGAATAACGAAGACCAATAGACATCGATCGAACAGCAGCTGTACAATCATTTGTTCTAAATTTAAAAATATTTTTATAATAATATTAGTTTTTTTTTAAATAAAATTTACACAGCTGAATATGTTTGTGTCCAATTATTCTCAGATAAATGATTAATAGCAGTAACCGTACTTGAACCTTAAAAAACAAAAATATTTTACTCAGTATTAATATATAAATCAACGATTGAACATACTTGGATGACGATTTTTTAAATCATTAAGAATTTCTTTTAATTTTTTTGCAACTCGTGAATATAATATTGGTGATGGATCTCGATCACCATATTCAGCAAGAACTAAATAATATAAAACCTATATATTTTACTCAATTATAAAATGATTACATACCTTGAGCAATAGCTAAATGCAGAACAGTATCATCACTTACACGCCATTGAGGAACTAAAATGTAACTATTAGTTATATTACACAATGAGAAAAGAAAGTATTTACGTTCAATACGTATATCTTCAATTTGATCAAATCTTTCATATAATTCTCGATGAATATCCTTTCCATTACTATTAAATTGCCATATTCCACTTCGATATCTAATAACAAAAAAAAACAATGATACATTTCTATTAATCTGATTGGAAATAATTTTTTGCTGAATTTTATTCATTCGAATTTTTTTTTCTAACTTACCCTAATGAATCGCCCACTCCACTTAAGATCATACATGCTTTATATTGTTCTAATAAATTATTTGAATTCATCTGACTAATCGCATTCTCAAAGGCTAACAACTTGCAAAATAACATATAAACATAGATCAAAATTCATTGGTTTATGTCTATATCCAATAAAAAAAAACTTCTTAATCGCTTATAAATGTCAAAATATTTTATTTTTTAATTGTAAATTAAATTTTTTTTCGTGTATTTCATTTAAAATAATTTTATCTTATCAATATCCAATCAGAAAATAAATCTTACTAAACAAGCACCTATTTAATTGATCGGATAGAAAAATTAATTATAATAGTAATAGATAGTATCTATAGCAAGATAGTTTGATACATTTAGATATGCTGTGCAATTAACTTAGGTGTGTGAATTAACTAATAGTGCACAATCTTCAAAATTTAGATGTTGATTCTACTGATATCTATACAGTAACGGAAAAAATTTTACTTTTGAGACAACGTATCCATAATAAACCTTAATTCATCTCGGTATTTTGATTTTAATACTCAAGCAAAGAAAAAGATGAGGAAGAAAATGTCCCCAGAATTGGAAGACTCATATATAATTTTTCAAAAGTGGGAGGATGCGCACCCCCGCAACCCATAGGCGGTAGATCCCTGTGAATATTCATCCATCATTATCATCGATATCATTGTCTTCTCAGCTTGATAATGCTAATACATCGTCGGTTGTAAATAATGTATTTCTACCAATGAAAGTAACATCATTTAAAAATTGTCTTTCACAGCAATCATCTTTCCGGAATGATGTCTTGGGAAAATATTTTGACATCTGAATCACAACAAGATATGTACTCGGATAAGAAATAAAATGATGATACAATCTTCATACAAAAAAACCAACAGGGATTATTACAACAATTTTCTCAGTCGAAGATTAACTGTAAGAAAATCTCTTGTATGTTTATAGTTGTTCGATTTAATTAGAAATTTTTAAACTGTATACACATACTTTTGTAATTGAAAAAAAAGACTTTTTGAACTATACACTAATATTCTATACTTGATAGATTTTTTAGAAAAGATTATTCATGCTTGCCAAAATGACAAAATGCGTAGGATTAGAACTACGAGAAGAAAATTGGATTAGAACGAAGTCGAAATTGGTTTTGTGTGACTTTTAGTGAATTATATTATAAATCAATTTGATTGAATTAAAAATACAGAATGAATTAATAACAAAAAAAAAGAACATTGATCATCTAAATGAATATCTAAACATTGTCTTAGATCGAACTTGGTACAAATTATTATGTACAGAAAAGATTAGATTTGTTTCTTTTTTATGTTTAGATAATTGATATAAAAAGTGTTGTAAATGACAGCTCTGATCATTTATCATCATATTCTGACTCATTAACAACTATACCAATCATTAGTAATTTACTGACAAATCAAAAGTCAATTATGAAACAAAATACAAATAGATGAAAATATTATTCAAGAAATGTTCTAAATAAAATAATGTTGTACTTTTAACAAGTGATAATAAAAAGAGTGACAAAAACATTAGGAAAAGCAATTATATCGTGTTACATATTTTAATTCCATGGAGATTAGAATGAAAGCCTACGATTTGATTACATATATATTCTATATACGTTGAGAAACATAGGCAGATATAATAAACAAAAGACTGAAATACTTAAGTTTTCTTTGTAAGTAATGTCTTTATTCTGTTGTTCATTTGGGAATAGAACAGTTCTAAATTGTTCTTTTGTTTTTTTGTTTCTCATGTAAAAGCAATGATTGGTTTTGGTTTAAAGATTTTGTTCAAACTGAATTAGATATGACACGCATTCTCTTTTGTATATATAAATATTGACATATTATTAGCTTTTTTATTGAAAAATCTAGTGAACAGTGACAATAGTTTATTCCCATGTGAATATCTACATCAACAAAAAAAAAAGCCAAGCGAGAATCAACTAAACAACGGGAAAGATTTTTTCTTTAAAAATAGCTAATCATTAGATATAATTATAAACTCGAAAGTAGAGTAAGTATTGAGTCATTTTTGAAAATATTTATATTTATACTAAGAGATATAGATAAGCACATTATTATTATCTATGAACATCTGTCATTTTTAAATGTAACAACAAAATTATATGTATTACAAACGAACAATAATAAAAAGATGTTCATAAGATTACTTATTTATAAACGAATGATCTCAAGGATTGTCGTTTATTATTACATTCCTTTTTTTCTCTTCTTGTTATCATTTATCAAGTTTATAATAAGAAAGAAAATATTATTTTCTTTTGTATTCATAAGATCATTCAATAAGAATCGGACTTCTCTGCCGAGTGTATGTATAAAAGGAAACACTCTAAAATATTATTACTACAATGAGTGAATGAACAAATTACTCGATAAAAAAAAAAGATGCGACATTCGTCATTCAATGAAAAGACTCATAAAATAAATATAACTTTCGTTGATAGAAAATAAACAAACAAAATGATTACGTTGAGTATCTGTCATCTTTATTTTCTATATTATTCAAACGGATGTATGTTCGTTTAAAACATTCATGATGTCGAACGTATCATTAACCACCCACATTTGGTGTCAATCATAATCTATAACAAGATAGTGAACTATCCGATTGCACAATCTATAACCCTCTGATAACAAGTGAGAGTAATATATGCAGATATCCATATGTTTTTTTAGATAATCTCGAAACGCCTTTTTTTGTCATGAAAAAAAGCTCCTAAGCTACAGGCCTATTTTCTTTGTATTTCGTCGTCGATTATAGAGAGATAGCATTCATTGTTCTACTACAAGCAGACACTATATATCTAGTATATTTATTTTTTTTTTGATATAACGAACCAGCTGCTACTTGCCTTTTTTTTCGAAGACAGTTTGTGTTTTTTCAACGCTGGAGTAACAAGTAATAGAAAATATATTAACCTAATAGGATAGATTTATGACATTCGCAAGATGATATCTTTTCTTTTTTTTTTCTACCATCGTTCTTATTTGTATATAGTTAAACAAACAAAACATTGCTAGACGAAAGATGATATCTGTATACACATACATATATATATACATTTAAATATTAAGTCAATCACAGTTATTCATCTAGCTAGTTATATTTCCTTTATTATTAATCGTCTTCTTATTCGCATATATATATATAAAGAACTTTATTATACCGTAATAGATATAGATTTGCTTCTTATTTTTTTTCTCTCTCTTCTCGTCTTCTTTTCTGTTTTTCTTCTCGGCTTGCGCTAATGTCCTTGATGATGATGTTCGCATACAAGCGGGTGATTTATTCCAGTTGATGGATGCAGTAAGTACACATCAAGGGGAGAGTCAAGACACAACACTTGTTGTTTTTCTAAATTATCTTAATAACTTTTTTTTTAAACCCATGGTAATATCGCGATTAAAGAAAATCTTTTCTCATCAATGAATATGAAATCAACGTTTTTTTTTCTTCTTCTAGATATTATCCGTTATGTATCATAGAAACTTACTCAAGTATCAAATATTTGCTATCAATATCTATTAATTTTGACACTGTGATCGACAATTTCAATTAATCCAATGACAGATTCGCTATTAAACAATTCTGGTAATACTTTAGATAGAATTGATATTCTTCAAGATTCAACAAAAACAATAATACCAGAACAATATATAATAATTCTATTAAGTTTTGCATATGGAATCATATCATTACTTGCTGTTATTGGTAATTCATCAATTATATATATTGTAATACGTAATCGACGAATGCATTCAGTTACAAATTATTTTATATGTAATCTAGCTCTTTCGGATTGTCTTGTAGCTTGTTTTGCAGTTCCATTTCAAGTGAGATTTTTATTTATTCTTTATATCTTATCAAATTCTATTTTTTATTCAGTTTCAAGCTGCAGCTTTACAAAAATGGATTTTACCACATTTTCTTTGTAAATTAGCACCATTTGTTCAAATACTTTCTGTTGATGTATCTATCTATACATTAGTAGCTGTTTCTCTAGATCGTTATCATGTAATGCTTCATCCATTGAAACCAAAATTATCAACAAAAAGCGCATTTCTCATATTTATCGTAATATGGCTTATTGCATTTGGGTCGTCAACGCCTAGCCTATTTTTTTATAATGTCTATTTGGTCGACGATTATGGTTATCAGTGTTTACCATATATATATGAAAATCAGTCACATAATAATAATTCAACAACAAAAACAACTTCCTATGATATACATAAAGTTTACATTGTTTATAACATCTATTCACAGTATGTTATTCCATTTATAATAATTAGCTGTGCATATTTTCGTATTGGTTCACATTTATATTTTTCTGAGCCAGTTGGACAAACAAAATACCAAGAAGTTATTACACGAAACAAGCGGAAAGTAAGATTAATAATTATCTTTAACCCGACAGCTAACATAAATAACCTTGATTGTAATATATAAAAAAGAAAATAGCAGATGTACATCCGATCATGCTGTGACAATCTTTATTAGTTGTATAGAACCTCAATTATTCCATCAAAACCGATTGAAAGATAATCATTTACAAATATAACTCACGTTTTTCAATCAAGGACAACATTTTTATTAATCTAGATTTAACACATGTTTAATATATAAACTATTACATCATATATATAAATATATAAGTCAAAAGCCTATTTTCCTTGATTTATATTTAGGTATTAAAAATGTTATTTGCTGTTGTCGCATTATTTCTTATTTGTTGGTTTCCATTACAATTATATAATTTTCTTAATGTATACAAACCTGAAATAAATGAGTAGGGTTTTGAAAAAAAATCTTAATTTAATAATTATCTTTTTTTTTTCTTTTGTTTTGTTTAGTTTTAGACATATTATAGTATTATGGTTATGTGCAAATTGGCTTGCCATGTCAAATTCATGTCATAATCCATTTATATATGGATTTTTTAGTGTAGGTTAAATGTAAAAGAAAGAAAAAATTATTAACCTTCATTTAGAGACCGTGACAGATACTTCTGTCTATAATTGAGATGCGATAGAATATCGCAAACTATATTAAAATATACAAATTACTTTACATTTAGATATAGCTTGAGGCTATCTAACGTGTCATAAAAGAGAAAAAAAAACAGTTATTCGAAATAAAAATGTCCATGAATAGGAAGACATAGACATAGACAAAATATCGATAGTAAATAATGATATTATGTTCTTCTTTACATGTAATATTTTACAAAAGATCTGATTGAAAAATAAATATAATTTAATTATTTATATATATATTAAATTTTTTTTATATTTCAGGCAAGATTTAATCGAGAATTTCGTAAACTTTATTCATGTTTACCATGTATTGATATTAGTAAATTAGAAGGAGAATTAACTGATGCTCGTACTAATATTCTATCATTAAATCAAACACAATTAAGACGTATACCCTATCAACAACATTCACCAAATACATCATCTCAACAACGTTCTCGTCAAAATACAACAACATCAATCAATAGCATACCACCAATGAGTAGTCAATCATCATCAATACCATTAAATAATCATAATGAAAAACGTCATCATTTTTTCTTTTCAAATCGTCAACCAAATCGGTTATTATCTCTTCATAATAATTATTATTACAGTTCAAAAATCAATCGATCTATAAATAATTGTGAAAAATTTTTACTCGATCAAGATTTAACCAATGCATCGAAAGATAATGATCTTTTATTAATTCATACAAATCAATCAACACATTTTGTATAGTTTTTGGCTTGCTTTTCGTTTCTTTTTTTTAATGTCTGGTGTTGTGAAAAAAACACTATTTGTACAATATCAATATTGAGTTAGAAATTCATCTGATATATCAATTAAATATTTAAAGGTCTCGTTCTCAATGGTAATAATATGAAAATAACATATATATAATGAACTTTAATTAATGCAAAAATAGACAACATATATCAGTACTTCTTTTTTATAATATCATTTTTTTTATCGAATCTTTACTTTTCGGCCTTGATTACCTGATAGAGTCATATATCGTTAATTTTTTTTTCTCTTGCTACCTCTCATCGCTCAACGCTTGTCACCTTATATTCATTACAAAAATTGAAAAACCATGCATTCCTTCTCTTCCTATTGGGTTTGTTTTCTTTACAAAGAAAAAAAATTGCCGTACATAATGTGGTTTCGTGGTTACTGTCCGAGGACATGACTAGTCGCTATCTATGTTGACAGATTTTTTTTTAACCAATTGCTATAAGGACATCAAAAGACGAGAAATATTGCGGCAGAAAAAAAAAGGTAGAGAAAAAGAGACAAGGATGTGTAATTAATCATACGCATCGTTAGGCACCAACTACCACTATTTGTACAATTAAAGTCGGGTGAGGAGGTGAAAAAGAGAGAAAGAGAGAAAGAGAGAACCAGAGAGAGAGAGTAAGAGAGAGTAGGTGAACGCAATCCTATCTAGTATATAAACACTGATCTATCCATAACATCATTACTACCTATTCTGCATCGTAGACGACACATTAACACGAATATGTCCAATTACGAGTACTCTTCCTATTCATCATCATCGAATACAGGTGGTGGTGTTCCAGGTTTTGATGTAGCTAAAGCAATATTCAATCAGGCTGATGCCAATCATGATGGTACTATTGATCGAGGTGAATTTCAGCAATGGGCCGGTGCAGCTAACAACGGTTCTGGTAGTACTGGTGCTGCATCACAATTTGATCTTAATACTGCCGGAGCAGGTGGTAATTTTGAATCATCAAATGCATTTGAAACATCAAGCTATTCATCAAATGGAGCTACTGGTGGAGCTTTTGGTGGTGATAATGGATTTAATGGTAGTGCTAGTGCATTCACTGGTGCTACAAATGGATTCAATGGCACAGCTAGTGCTTCATCATTTGAACAAGGAGGTTACGGAGCAGCAGGCTCGGCTATTGATGCTGGTGCTACTAGCGGAAGCAACTTCCAAGCATCATCATCCACATTTGAATCATCAGGAAGTCAAACTGGTGGTGCTGCTGCTAGTACTGCTGGTGGTGCAGGATATGACGCTGCAGCAGTTACTCAAGCTGCTGCTTATACAAGTGAAACCAATGCAGCTTGGTCAAAATATGGTGCTGAAGTAAGAGGTGCTGGACTTTTCGTTGATGCTAATCCACAAATTATTCGTCGACCAGCTTCTGGTGGTGTACAAACTTATACACAAAACATTAAAGTACGATTTCTTCAACCACCACCAATTCCACCACCAGGCGTAAGTACTAATTTTCTATTATATATTTCAATCTTTATTTATATTATTATATCTATATAGCCTCTCATTATCAAAGAAGTTCGTCCACCTCAACCACCACCACTTCCACCTCTTCGTATTAAACAACAAGCTCCACCTCTTCCACAACCTCCTCCACTCATTCTTCGTGAAAGACCACCACAACCACCAGCTTCACAAGGTTCACAAACTGTTGTTCGTAAACTTCCTGCTCTACCTGTACCACCACGATCAGTTATCATTGAACGTATTCCAGCTGCACCACCTCGTCCACGTAAGTTTATTCTACTCGGGTTTTTTTTGTTGTCCTATAATATTTTCTGTATTTTTAAATAATTAGGTGATATTATCATTGAACGATGGATTCCTTATGGTGCTTCAGCTAAACGAAAAACTATTGTTCAACGTGCTGAAGGAGCTAAAGACTATCCTAAACCACGTAACATTATAATTCAATATGAACCCGTTCAAGTTCGTGTTGTTCGACAATTTCAACGATTGGGTGTTACTCAAGAAAACCCACAAGCCTATCTTCAACGTTATGGTGCGCAATTACTTGATGCTCAAACTCTTGTCCAACAAGCTCGCGCCGCCGGTGTTGTTGAAGATATTGTAAATATAAAAATATTTTGATGTTTATATGATAATTTAATTACACATTTGTTTTTCTATTTACGTTATTAGTCACCACCAGCTCAAGCTGGTGCAGCTTCTACTAGTCGATCAGGATCAATTACCCAAGAATCAGGTTACGGTGCTACTGCTACTGGTGGACGATCAGGATCAATTAGTCATGAATCAAACTATGGTGCTACTAGTGGTACTAATGTTATTCGATCGGGATCAATCAGTCATGAATCAAATTATGGTGCTGCTACAAATGGTATCAGATCAGGATCAATTAGTCATGAATCAAACTTTGGTCTTACTGGTGATGTTAATGGAAGTGATATAAATGGTATCACTGGTGGTGAATTAGGTGGTTCTACACAACAATTCTCTTCCAGTACATTTGAAGGATCACAAGTTGGTACATCTGGTATATAAAAAAAAACAAAATTATTATTTCTTATTTTTATTTCTTTTTTTCTTTTCTCAATGCAGGCTTCGCCGGTAATGGTTTCGAAAGTGGTTTAGCTGAAGGATCCGGTGCTAATGGTGGTTATAGTACACAAGGCTTTGAATCACAATCATATACATCAGGCAATGGAGGTGTTAATGGATTCGGTGTCGATACTGGTATCAGTGGTACTAATGGATTCAATGTTGATGCCGGTCTCAGCGGTGCAGATGGTGGTTATGCTTCATCAACATATGAATCATCGAGCTTCTCATCAGGTGGAGGAGCTGGTGTTCCTGGTTTTGATGTTGCTGCTGCTACATTCAATAATGCTGATAAAAATAAAGATGGTGGCGTTGATGCCAACGAATTCAAACAATTTTATCAAGGTGGTTTATAAAAAAAGTCTATTAACTTAGCTCTATTTTTTTTCACACATTTTTATATTCTTTGTCTTACTTTTTTCTTCTCATCTTAGTATAAGGAAACTATTTTTTTATAATCAGTATCCTTTAGAGTTATGAATCATATGCTTTGTCTTAATTGATAATTTTGTGCTGCATTTTTTTAAATAAAAAAGAAAACGTAGAAGAATAAAGTAGTATATTCAATAATTATCGGTTTTTATTTTTAATTATCGACAAGGTTAATTATTATTAATATTATATTGACAGAACGGTTTTCTTTCGCGCTTTTTAATTTAAATCACCTTGAAAAATAGAATATACCAGAAAATAATAAAAAGGACAAAATATCGATAACAACCTTTGGTTTAAATAGACGATAACAAGGCATGCAAAAAACAAATACATAAGTAAAAGAAAATTGACAAGATAAAAAACAAGATAGCTCCACAATATTATTTTTTAATCAGAAATGTGTACATAGAATAGTTAGCGAGCAAAACGAAAGGTAGACTTACACACACGACAAGTACACACAATTTACGAGAAGAGACAAAATCATTATATGAAATGACATGCTTCATTAAGACATGTGTTGATATTTTTCAATAGATTGCAATAAGCGCACACACACATACACGAAGAAAAAAAAAATGTGAAAAGAGAAAAATATTTGATAAACTATATAGGGAACAAATTTTTTGGTGTAAGTTTATACATTAAATAACTAAAAACCTTGAAATTTATGATTTTTCTTTTTCAACACGTTTTCGTTTTTTTTTCTCACTCTCTCTCCCTCTTATCATTCATTCTTAACTAAAAAATCACATAGACAAATTGGGTTTACCTAGAGGTTAATGTACTGTTTGTCATCAATTAAACTTTGTTATTTACACATTGATTCTTAACTTTTTGATGACTTTGATGTGAAGGCCTTGGGATTTATGATTTATCTACTATCAATCATAGTTAATATGCAAGAAATAAATATGACATATATTGATTGCTTTTTCTTTTTTGCTGGAAATTAATATTAAATAAGAACGGTCATGCTTCGAAGTTTTTCGATTTCCTTATCTAATTTTTCTTCTGTTACCTTAATTCGTCCATCGGTTATACGCTGTAATGTTTGAACAGAACCTTCGAGTGATTCAAAACAAGTACGCATTTCTTTTTTAACTTTTTCTAAATTAGCCATCGTTTTTTGATATTTTTCATCAAATCTTTTATAAACAGTACTTTCAACCGACTAAAAAACAACACACACATATATAAATTTGCGTAAAAAAACAAAACATTAATTTATTTACTTCATTATTTCGTGTTAAATCAGATATTGCTCGTCGACAATGATCTTCGAGTGATGCGGATTTTCTTTCAAATTGATGTACTGATTCATCAATTTTTTTATCTAATCGTTCCTAGAAGAAAATAAAAAAATATTCAATAATAAAACAACACGTTTAAAAATCACTTACATATTTCTCTAATGATCGTTTGATTTCATCAAGTTTTTGATTCATTTTTTGTTCGGCGCGTTCGCGTTCGGCATCTTCTTGTGCTTTACTTTGCATTATTTGATTGCGTAATTCATCAACAAATGCATGTGAACGTGAATCAGCTGTAGATAAAGCTCGTGCTGTATCAGTTTCAAATGTACGTAAAACCATTTGTTGTTCATTAAACATTCGATCAACACGTTGACTTAATGTTGAAATCTAATAGCAAAATATGAACGACACTCAAAAAAAAAGAAAAGAATATAATCTTTACTTCAACTTTTATCTCTTGATAACGTTGTTGACTTGATCGATTTGTATCCTGTTGACTATTTATTACATCACGAAGACCATGTGACATTTGTTCAACATCAGATTGTAATTTTTGTACAATAGTATCTGTTCGAGAGAGTTTTATTTGCAAATCCGTATTTAATTGACGTAATTGATCATCAAATGCTTGTTGGCTTGTAGTTAATTTTACTACTGCAGATTCACGCATAGATGTTTGATTTCCTAACGCTTCAATATCACTATTTAATTTCTTACAAACAGCTGATAAAATTTGAACTTGATCCATTTTATTTTGTTCAAATGATTTTTTTTCTTCTTCTTCTTCGAGAAATAAACGTTTTCTTTTCTATTCTGTCACGTTCCTATGCAACAGCCTTGTAACTGTTACTAAACTCTTTCAGCAAAGATGGCGTTAAGATATGTATTGTTAAAATTTTAAAGAACAAAAAAAAAGAAAATTATTATTTTGAAAACAAGTTCACATGTGTAAATATATGTATATATTTTGAAGAATAAAAATAAGTTTTTTCTAAATAACTGATACAATAAAAGTTCACAACAGAGAAAAAAACGTATTCTATGATGCACTGTCCTTTTATTGCACAAAAAAAGATCTCGATTTATTTTTTTTTGATGTGTTATGAAAGCTCTTATCAATATATAACAAAAATTATCGGTAGTTTAAGAATGATAATCATAAGTTTTAGAAAATAAACGAACGGAAGACTAAAATGACACAATCAATAAATAAAACGAAGAAGAAGAAAAAAAATATATATCCCTGTACACAAATACAATAATATATGTCATCATTCAAGGCTTTATATTCACAGCAAAAAGTTTCTTGATTTAGTTTTTTGCTTATCTATACGGAACCATTCACATTTGATTTTTTTATGTAAGAGAGAACAAAATAAAAATAAAAACTAAATAAATCTACAAAAATTCTTATCGAGATATTTGCGAATCTCGGTGATTCGAGTTTGCATAAAATTGTTCAGGTTTTAATTTATGCCACATTTCAACCCATTGTCCAGGTGATTTCACCATCATCAACCAATGTTTTAAATCATCACCTGATGCTGATTGTCCTAATTGAAAACCACCTAAAATATAGAAAATAAAATTTTACTTCATTAATAATTAATATTCATCGCATGATGTTTTTTCTTCTCGAAGGAATATCATAAACATGACATATTTTATTTTGTTTAATTATTGAATAAAGTGCAATTTGTCATGAGTGCAAATTAACGATAGATATTACATTCAAAAATTTAACTATTTTTCAAAGATTAAAAATATATTCATCAATTAGGGATTTATAAATTATCTATTGATAGCAACTCTTAAAGGCTCACGCAAATGAGTTCTAATCTTCTTAGAATATTAAAAAAAGATAGGAGATGAAACTATCAATTAAAATTCCCTTGTCCTAAAGACTTTTTTTTTGTGAAATATTTACCAATATAATCATCTTTTTTTCCCATATCTTTATCAAAAACCGTAACTTGTAATGTTCGACTAATTAATTCTTGTAATTGTATATGTTGAAAAATAAATTCTTCATTATATTCTGGTTGTAATGTATGTTTTTTAACTGATGTTTTAAAATTCCATTTAACACCCATATCAGTTGAAGGAAATAATACTAATTTACAATATGGATCTGATGTTTGACCAAAATCCATGGGTAATAATTGACTACCACGTATTACTTTCACATGAAAATTATTTGTTGGTTTTGAATACATAAGACTAAGTAAAATTTTTCCTCGTTCATTTTTATCTTCATCAGTTGGAAGCTAAAGAAAATAATCAAAAAAAATATTACCTTCAAATATTTAAAAATAAAATAGTAGCTTTAAATATGTGATTTTCATTATAGATTATCCAGTCAATCTCACTATAAGAAAATCACATATTCTCCGCGTGAATCATTCTCAATAAATTTAGCACAATCAATGTTAAGCATAAACAATATATAAACAAAAGCGATATATATTCACAATTTATGTTTACCTCAATATCCTAGATGAAATTTTATTTAAAAATTAATTAATAAAAGATAAAATTTATTTTTATATGTGTACTTACTTCAGTTTTATTTTGTAAATAAACTGCATAAGCTTCTTTAACATCAGCACGAATTGTTGATAATCTCAAACGATATTCACCAAGAAAATCAGAACCAACTGAATCTTCATCATACACCGAAAATCTTTTATATTTAATAGGAAAAATAAAACATGAAATAAATTTTTTTCTATTACTTAAGTGATTTTGTTTTCATATCTTCTAAAGAAATACCATGATAAACTAATGTTTCATCAAAATCAGGATTTAATGTTCGACGAATTGTATGACTTCGTAATTTTGTTGCCTAAATTTAAAAGAATTATTTTCAAAAAATTAAATATAGATTTTTTACTTTAGCAACACCAGGTACAAGATGCAATTTAACATAAGGATCAGAAAGTCCATTTGAATCACATGATCGAAGACTTCTTGCTCGTAATAATGTTATTGTTAATACATTTAAAGATTCTTTCCAAATAATTTCAAAATCTAATGTACCAAATCCTATAAAAGAAAACATATTTCCTTAGATTTTTTTCTTATAAAAATAAAAAACTAACCACAATCATCAATTGGTGATGAAGTATTTACAACAATTGATGGTGATGGACGAAGATTTATTGATGATGATGCCATAGATGGAATAGGAGATTGTAATGTTGGTAAATAATCCTCGATTGAAAGCTCTAAATAAATATATCTTTATTATTAATTTTTATATTTTTTTGTTGTATACCTTTTGAACTTCTTGTATCAGTTTTAAATGAATCGATACTTTCATCTCGATCATGTTCACTTATTGGACTTGGATTTTCAGATACTTGTTGAAATGGATTTACAGTAGTAAAATGATCATGTGGAATAGCTAAAATCAATTATTTGATTATATGAAAACAAACACAATCGTTATCAAACCTGCAACAGGTGAAGGTCGTTGATTTAATCGGCTGGTATTATTTTGTTGTTCGTCAGAACTTGAATCATCTTCTGATGTTAGTATATCATCTAGAAAGAAATTCTTTTAAATATCGAAGTAATATTTAATAGATTATTTTACTTTTTAATGGTGTAGCTGAAATACACGATGCAGATGGTTTTACACTTGCTGGTAAACTAGATCGTGAAGGTAAACTTCGAAAAAACCAAGCACCAGATTTTTTCCATAACTAAACAAAAAGAAATAATTTTAATGAATTTCCTCTTTTGCTTTATTCTTCGAATTTTACTTCACGATTTTCACTACAAATTTTACATAGAGTTATAACTTGTTGATTATAAACAGTTTCAATAGAACATTTATTGCAAACAGACTAAAATTTAAAAATTAATTTTTCATAGATTTGCTTTTTTCATTACTTTATGACAATCAACACATATAACAGCTGATGCGCCTAGCATGCCAAAACCATCAGCACATAGGACGCATTGTGATGATCCATTACCGGTTGCATGTTTTTTCATATTTTCAAGACGATCGATTAGTTTACTTAACAAAGAATATATGAAAGTAAATAAAAATACTTAATTATTTTTTTTCTTTTTCTATTTACCCAACACGTTCTTGTTCAAGAAGTTCAATACGTTGAGCACGTTCAAGAACTTTCTTAATTCGTTCAATTTCTTCATCACGTAATGATTGATTATTTGGTGGTGTAATTGGACTATTAACACGATTTACAAGTGGACGACTTGAATGAAATGACCAGCCGGAACTAAGTCTAAAACAAAAGATGAAAAATCAATTCTTTATTGTTTTTTCGTTTACTTTGCTCGAAGCTGTAATTGACGATCATTTGGACAAACAAACGCACTGTTTCCGGCGTCTTTCATCTAAAAAAAATGCGTCTTGATTTTATTTAAAGTACTCTTAACTTTGAAAAACATTGAATTTAAAAGAAAGAAAGAAAGAAAGAATGGAATAATTTTATCGTGGAAGAATGTATAGCATTAAATAGAAATATTTTAGCGCTACAGTCTGCGATAAGCAGACGTTGATGTAAGTGACAAATGATTGGTAAATGGAAGAAGAAGAAGAAGAAAGCAAATCGATTATTATTTGTTTTATTAAATAATGAATGTATTCGACATAAAAAAATCTATTCGATCTTATATATACAAATAGATTTAGCTTAATAATTCTATTTGCTTTCAGAAACTATCAAAAAAGAAAAACGGAAACGGCGACTATGAATGTTTTTTGCTTTCGATCTAATCGATGATGACTTGATAAACGCTTTATATATAAAGAATAATCTCTCGTTTAATATTTTTTTTTCCTGATAAAAAAAACGCATATATTTTTATCATAATTATATATTAATTCATCATAACTAAACAGAAAATAATGACTATCATTTGTCAGTTCTATATTGAAAACGACAACTAGAAATAGTCATTAATTAATACTTGTATAGCTTACTAATCAATTGATCTTATTAATTCTATATATCTAGAAATGAAAAAAAAAAATTTCTTTCAAAGGTTTATTTTTATTATTATTGTGAAAGAAAAAAAAAATACTAGTGTTATTCATGTTAATAAGTAATAAAAGAAAAATCACTTGAGACTCGTGAATAGATCACTTGTTGACGATGTTGTTGCTACAAGTATAATATAATTCTCGTGTTACATGACTTAAATCAGACATGTAATCAAACTTCCTCGAAATTTTCTCTGAACTTTACTATAGAACAATGAATGTCAGGAGTATAAACATATTATAGTAGTGAAACATGACAGATGGTATGTGATATATCATAGGATGTTCAATGGTTGATTGGGAAAAAAAACTAATAAAAGATATATTTCTAGTTAGAAGAAGATAAAAATGTAAAAAAACAAGATGTAAGATTATGACAAATAGTGCTAGACAAGATCTATGTGTATGTTCATGTTGACTAAAATGTCTATAAATCATGCTGTTATATCTTAACAGAATGTTTTTGAAGAGCATCCATTAGCTTAAGAGCTAAAATCTACTACCGTTTCGTCTTCCTCCTCTTCTTCTTCTTTTCTCGAGCGAGTCAACCGGCAAGAAAAATATCATCAATAACGACGTATGTGATAATAACATGCTTGAAAACAATCCATAAGATGAAAAAGTCTTTTTCTACTTACGACTATAATTTTTTACCCTTTTCACTTTCTCGCTTTTGTTCTCTATAGACAACAAAGAAATATCAATAAAAGAAAGAAGAAGAAAAAAAAAAGTATATATATTCTTTTTCTCTGGTACCATATCTGATTCTCTTATATATATTGTAAGTATGTAACAATTGCAGAAAACTATATGCATGCTGTTGTCTCACAATAAATACAGAAGATGTTATTATTTGACATTGATATTTAATAGTTTATATGTGGTTATATATACTATTCAGCATCTGACGTTTTCTTCCTGTAATAGATATATTAAAGAGAATTCACTAAAATGTTATATCTAAATAAAAAAGTTGAGAATACAGTTTACATGTCTGGTATAGTATAAAAACAGTATTATTATTAGTCATTATCTATCGTATTTCTTTAATTTACATATACCCTTGACTTGATATTTTTCTAAACTTTAGTCACATATTTTTATTATGTTATTATCTTCATTCTTTATTCATTTCTGCGTCATACTTATTATTTTTCTTTTTATTCAATATATTTATGCATTATCATCGATCATGTAGTTATTTCTTGTTTCCTGTTCTTGTATGACCTTAATAAATGACTGACTAGTATTTTTTTATTTTAGTTTTTCGATGTATATATTAATATACTGACTGACATATAAAATTTTGTCGAACCCATTTCCCTTTCTATTTGCTAACAAATGCACATTAAAGAATCAGCCATTATAAGATGCATATTATTAAGAATGAATGACGCGAATATTAATTAAAACCTTTTTATATTGATGATATCTATATAGTACCAATTAAATAAATGAGTTAAGTGGTTATTTATTTTGATGAAATCGACATAAATTTGATGATCGAATTCGTTTATCTTGTTGTTTTTCATTTATTTCTTTGAAATAATTCATATGTTCTTTTAAAATATGAATATGTCTTTGTTTTTCATCTTCATTCAAATTTCGATGATATTTACGAAGATAAATATAGATAATAACAGATACTAAAAATGCTAGACATAGAAAACTAGTCGGTATAATTATTGATGAATAATAAGAAGAGTTCGTATTTTCAATTGATCTATTCATAGTCATGTTAATCCTATTTAAGAACTTTATCATATATAATCAGGTGTTTTCTGAAGAAAATGGCGCATTTATTTATAAAAACAAAATTAGAAGGGAATGAGTACAAGTCTTAATTAAAAATTACCAACGTTCTTTGAGTGTAAAACAATGTGAATAATCAGATAAATAAAATTTCTATCACCATAAGTTTTATTAATGAAAATTAAATCCCAAAACAAAGAAAAAATCAACTGACTACAAATCAATTATAGCATGTAATGAATTACTAAAAATCATAAAGGATTAGTTTATCTGGCAATTTATTTCGAAATTTTTGAAATCCAATATTTTTTCAATGATGCAATTCGTTGTTTAATAGCATTGGAATAACATTTTCCTTGTGGTTGATGTCGGTTAATTAAAGCTTGTAAACTATTGCGAGATCGTTCAACAATCTTTTGATATTAAAAAAATATATGAATATATTATATCATGAAATATCTCATTTTCTTACGTCCTCAATTGAATCTTTTGATATATCATATGGAATTGGATCACCAATATATAAAGTTAATTTTGCTGGTATAGGAATTTGAATCCATGTCATTGTAAACCATACAATTTCACCAATTGTATTTAGTATTGGTGTAAAAATTGGTATATTTAATTTAAGTATAGAAGAATATAAACGACCAAGACCTAAAAGATTCCAGAAGAATAGTATTGGATTCCAACGCATTTCTTCTTGATTCGCTAAGAACGTTGGTACAATTGGTGCTTGAGCTTCGGTAGCTACATGAACAAAACCTTTACCTAAATATTTATAATTTTAGTTAAAATTGATGATTTATTTCGAATCTTACGCTTCTCTGGCCAACGTACTTCATATGCATTTTCATGACCAACCATAGCTTCTTCTCCTCCACCTATATACATATATATTTCATTCAATCTCTATTTTATTGATTACCTGGAATAACAGCTACCCAAAATCCACTATTTAATAGTGATATTGCAGTATCTCGTTGACCTGGTACACAACCCAATAATCGAAGTACTGGAAAGAATGGAATCAATTGTCGATGGATCAATGATCTAAGTATAGAGAATTTAGAGACATGAATAGAAATTTTAAGAAAAATCTACCGAATAACTCTGCCTGTTTCATAATATGAACATACAATAATACCTGTAATTTCTGCATTATGTGTTGAATGTCGAGAGATAAAAAGACAACTTTGTTTCGGATCTATTTTATCCATACCAATAACTATAATATTAATGTTTTAGTCAATCATAAAATTCTTTTTTTTATAATTCTTACTTTCAAAATCATGAAAGCAAATAAATATATAATAATAAATCCATGTTAAAAGTCGAAAATACCATAATTCACCAATAGTTTTATCAGGTAAAAAGGCAAGACGTGTTGGTAATGAATAACGTCGTGCTTCATTTCGTGCAACTGGATCAGCAATAGCTTTATCTGTTTTCTTTTTTAAATTGGTTAATTCCATGTGAAACAAAAAAGAAATTGTCTAAAATGTATCAAAGATATTTTTCAATATCTCGTTTTATTGCATAAAAATTTAGAATAAATCATCGTAAAATAATAATTATGTTAAAAATGAGTTTATAGATATTTTGTGTTTTGTTTGAAAGTTAATCGAGAATAATACAATCAAAATAGAATGAAAGAGAAAAAAAAGAAAATGTTTGTGTAGTTTTTATTTTGTTTAATCACTGAGTATTATTTGTAACTACTACTACGTAGTGTTTCATTAATACCAGCTGTAGCTGCTTCACGAGCTGCTCCACGTACAGTTGGACTAAAAAGAGATTAAAGAAAATAATAGTTTATTGGCAGGTTTTATAAACTTACTTGTTTACAAATGCCGATTGAAACTCTCGTTGAGCTTGTTCAAGTGTAGCACCGGATTGCCGATATAATCGGTGAACCTGTATTACAAAATATTTAGTAGCGAAAAATAAACACACGAGCTTGAGCAGAGCGATTCCGACAAGTTTACTAACACTCTTCACAGATAGTCGAATGAATCTTTCTTTTTGATGAGCAAATAAAATCAATGTTTTATGCAACGAATATTATTACAAAGCTGAGCATAATATACATACTATCAATCTACTTCTATGTACTATATTTCATTACTCAAGTTATTACACTTATTCAAGACAATAAAAGGACGATCTTACCTTAATTAATAACAAAGCATCAGCAAGAACAATAAAACCAAAACTTAATGTAACAATCATAACAATAAGACCAACAATAATTTTACTTCCAACATGAGAAGAGAATAATTTAACCATCAGTATAAACCCACTAAAATAATACGCACATATATATAGCAAATATTTGTTAATTAATTTCTGAGTAGTAGCAAGCAAGAAGAATTACTAGAAGATAGAATTTTTTTACTCAATTAAACACATGCAAAGCAATAGATAGAATTCTACTAAATAAGAGCATGCATACTATGAAATCTATTTTTTATATTAATTACCATCCAAGATTAGCAATGCCAAAAAATTGTAATACGGTTATGATAAATTGCATAAAGAACATGAGAAAAAATATCATGAAACTTGATGCACTGTCTTCTCTAGGTAAAGTTATAAAGAAAAAAAATTAATATGTTGATTAGTTTCGTCGAATCTAATCTATGCATATGCGTTAGTTAATTTCTGAGTTAGAATTTTTGTTTTAGTTTTTATTCTTATTACCAAAAACCTGAATTTTGCCAACCCAATATCATGAAAACGGATATGCATATTTGAAAGAAGAATATAAAAAAAAAGATCATAAAATCAACAGATCGATCAGATCTAGAATATATCTCTCTTTTTTCAAAAAATCTATTCATATCAGATAAATATGTATATGTCACCTGAATGCACGATAGATTGGTCGAAACCAACAAACATACGAGCATGGAATAAATAGTATAAAATATACTATGGATAAACCAAATGTAGATACACCATTTTTATCAACCACTGTTTAAAAAATAAAAAATTTTTCTCATTTTTGAATTATTTTAAAAATAAATCTCAACTGACTAAGATAAGCAAATGCCGCAATTATATTCAAAGCCAATGTACCCGCATATACTAATTATAAAAGAAAATAAATGATATATAATTTATTCGAAACAAAAAATACATACATAACCATAGATAATAAAGATAACGAACCCATATTTGAAATTCAGGTGGGATTTCAACATTGATATCCTGATAAAAACATGGTCGAAGTGGAAACCAAGCTGGTAACGGTGGAAAATTTTTATCACGATCTAAAGAAATAAGTTCGAAAGTACTGATATGTAGAAAAATCTTATCTTCGCATAAGATTTACTATGATTACATAGGATTGTATTACAATATAGCAATTTTTTGTATGATTTTCGAAAGTTATTTCAGTATCGATTAAACGTCATTATAAAATACTATCGAAACTAAGTGAATATCTTTGATATTTAGCATACTTATTTTATAAATTACGAAAACGAATTATTCGATTTTACTGTGTTATCAAATTAATCATAAAATATTTATCTATAATCGAAAATAGAGATTCTAATCGAATAGAATCCTATGTGTTTGTAATAACTCATTTTTGAAAAAGAAATTCATTTACGTGTAACTTGTGAATTTCTTAATTCACGTTCACGTTCCATAAGACGTTTTTCACGTTGTTCAAGTTCTGCTTGTTGTCGTTCAAGCTGAGTAAGATCAACACGAGTCGTTTGTGGAATCGTATTAGGTATTGTTGCTGTTGCATATGCCGGCGGTTGTTGACTAGCTGGCAAAGAAGGTGTTGCATTTATTTGTGTTGGCTAAAGATTTACCAATAAAATTATGTATTTAAAAAAACAAACTTCAATCAACTGTACTTTTGATCCAACAGTTGTATTCCCGAATGGATTATAATCATTGAGTGTTTGTTGATTTGTACTAAAATAATTCAATTTAAAAATAAAATTACGAAATAAAATACTACAAACAATGTCTGCTGTGTTGCTTGCTGAATTGATGGATCAGCAAATGGATTAATATCTTCATCGATATTCATATTTAATTAATACTAAAAAACTAAATGGTATACGTGTTCTTTTCTTATGATTAGTTCATATATAAAATAAATGATATACAACTTACTAATATTATTATTTGAAATAGCTTACGTATGATTCATTCGAATTCGTTTTGTGACATCTATATGTACACGAAAGATTTCTATTCGATAATATCCATTCCTTCGATTTTCGTTAGCAATACCTCTATTATGATTGAATATCGCATCGAAATAACTAAATCAATGAGTTAATAAAATTTTGATTATAATATGATCAAGAAGACAATTAAATCAACATACGTTGAATATTCAAATGATGATAATTTCATAAGATAGATCAACATTAATCTTGTTAACAGTAAATCTCTTTACACTTTTCTTTTCTAGAATAGATACAAAAAAATGATTGTATTCTTCTCTGTTTATTATGAAAATGAGTTGATTATAAAATAAAATATCATATTCATCACTTGACTCATTTTTCAAAATTATTATATAATACAATCATCTTTATCTTTGAAATAGGAGAATATCTTCAAATTAATAGAAGATACTTGAATTAAAATTATTACTACAAGATGTACCCAATGAATAAGTAATGTTAAGTAAATATGTTACAATAGTATCTGTAATGCGACATATTTGTTTGTATTATTATCGGCAACCATACTGTCAGACCTTACAGAAGAAGATACATGCGATTTCTTTCCTTCTAGTCTATCGCGTGATTGCTGATTTTCGTGCTTGTCGTATGCATGTAATTGTTTTATATATATATTTGTAATAGATAAGAGAGACAAAAATTATTATTAAGTACAATTTGGTATATCAAATGAAAAATTTTATTCAGATTATTTATAAAAATGTACATGAATATATATATTTATATATTAAAATTCTTTTTATTTTTATCACACTTCACAAAATGACAAAGCACCCCAATAAAAACGTGACACATACATAAAATATATATAGATTTAAATTAACGAAAGCCAATCATCTGTAACAGCCCAAATATGTTCAAAAACTTTACCATGAAAAATATTTTCACTACCTGTATAAACACGATGAAGAATATTTGTTTGTTTAAAATGTTTTGATTCAAACATTTTTATTGCTAATCGATTATCTTCAGGTAATGTTAATAACATTGTACCATCATAATCAGTTGCACATTGTTTTAATAACATTAAAGCAATATTTATATTATCAGCATATAATGGTCCACATTTAATAAATTCTTGACTAAAATTTAAAATAATATAACCTAATATTGTATTTGTTTTTGTTGAACGTGCAACATAACCAGCAATTGAATAGATATGTTCACGTAATTGTTCAAAATAATGTATACGATATGTAGGATATATATGACTATCATAAGTAGCAATATCAAGTATATCTGATAATTCATATTGTTGAATAGTTACATCTTCTTCAATTACATTTGTTAAATTATAAAATTCACCAAGTTTTCCAACTAAACCAACTAAAGAAAATGATGCTTGAAAACCATACCGAATATAAAATGGTAAATGTTGTGTTAGAATATTTGCATGAATACAACTAACTTCTTCGGATTTTATTTTTAATACATAATTTGTTAATAATTCTCCAATACCAAATTTTCGATAATCAGGTCGTACATAAACAAGACCAAGCATTAATATCGAAGATCTTAAATGATTATTAAAATTCCATTGTTTAATAGATGCATGTGCTAAAAGTCCATGTTTCGATGTAATAACATATGAATGTTTTGGTCGAAAAGCAAAATAATACATTGAAAAATCAACCGATGCACGTTGAAATAATGAACAATCAGAAAATAAAACTTTTAGATCATAAATATCGGTAGATATTACTGGACGTATAAATACATTGAGTGATTCGATTTTTTCATTTCTAATAATACAAAAAAAAAGACATTATCCTTTTATCTTGATGTTTAGAATTCTCGAGGGATTTATAGCTCATTATTTCCGCTTAATAAACTCATCCGGTTTTCTTTTCTATAAGAAAGTCATTTATTTTTTGTCGATCTTATTTTTTATCTCTAGTAGATATAAAAATATTCTTTTACCTATAAAGCCAAAATGAATATTGACTTGTTAAAGTTGTTGCTAAAGCATAACATGAAGTTATATTAGTACATGCATGATTCAACATCATTGATGAGAGATGTGTAGATGTGTATGAAAGAAAATAAAGCAAATAAATATGCAAGTTGATAGTACCAAAGCTTTCATATGTTCATTATTATTCGCGATAATAAGTGCAGAGTTAATACGGTGTAATGACCCTCTCTCTACAATATATGTTTGTCTAATAGTACTAGTTCCATTAGAAAATGGTAACATCAATAGAATGATAAAAAGAACAGAGAATTGCGAAGGACTACTACTACTACTCTATCTTCCTTTCCTCTCTATATTTTCATCGATCTAACGCTTGCATCTTCTTCTATTGCGCATTGCGATCAATTCGGAAGAGAATTTGTTTAGAATAATACAGAGACAATACAATAAAAGAATAACAATGATAGTCAAGAAGAAAAAAAGAACAACAACTATTCTATATTTCTTGTGTTTTCTTTTCGATATCATCGATCTTTTTCTACTAATTATCTTTTGTTAGCTGTATGTCTATAAACGACATGTGATTGACAAAGTTCTTTAATATATATAAAAAAGATATATTTTTGTTTTAATTGATATTTTATATTGCCTATATTTATTTAGTCATTCATTTGAGAAGTATTCATACAAAAAAAAATGAAAGAAAGAAAATTCCATAGAGAAGAGACACTAAGACATGTCATAACACAAGAAAAATAAATAGAATTAGAAGAATAATATCCATTTTAGATATTACTTTCATTTTTCTGATTAATCGAAGTTGATTTATTAATTTTTTCGTAATTTTCATCAATTGCTTTTATATTTGCATTTTCAATAATCCATTCATGTTGAATTACTTCATTTAATGGCATACGATCTAATGGATTACGACGAATAAGCTAAATCATATGTTTTGTTATATTAAATATATATAAAATAAAATACTTTTAATCTTACTTGACTAATAAGATCACGAGCATGAGATGATGTATGTGATGGAAATGATAAATCATTTGTTCGAATAAGTCGAATTGTATCTTGTTGAGTTTGACTATCGAATGGAGGTTTACCAACAATCTGTAAATTAAAATATATGAATCTATCCACTTCAAAAAGTAGAATACTGTCAAAAAAAAGTATTCATAACTGAAATTCACAAGCGCGATCAAACCCAGGTCATATACACTAAAAATTACATTGCTTGTCACGTTCAACATCTTTCATCTATTGACATTTCAATCCTGAGTTCATTGCTCTCTATAAACAATTTTCATATACTGAATTTAGATGCATTGACAGTACTCGATTCTCAAATTAACCCTAGTACTACCAAGTGGGATCAGAAATGACCCTACTATAGAAAAGTGAAATTTAATAAGATATCTTGGTATTTTTCTAGTTTAAAAACTATTCAGCATTTCTCATGACCAAGACTTTTTGGCAGAGTACTGAAAAAAGAATTGTTTCATCTTTCCTACCTCCGCATTAATAAAAATATAAAACCAGTTGGACGTAACTGGAATCGAATTGAATTATGTTTTATTATGGACTCAACCTGCTGAATAGGATGTGGTAGATTATCCTAATGTGGAGAAAATATCAGAAGAACTAAATAAAATCTTCGCGGACTTAAAAAGAAAATGATGTTCGCTTCGTAATCGTATCGAAGACAGAAAGACTCTGAATAAGTGTTATAAATATTCCAAACCCACTTCTAATGAGCAATGTGTGAAACGATCTTTTTGTATCACGTGTTCGAAATAAATATATAGCATCCTTCTCAGTCATTTTATTATCTAACCGAATAGAAAATAGTATAATTTGGTAGTACTAGGGTTCATTTCGAAAATATTCTAAGAGTATAAAATCGATATTAATCATATTCATTCTTTACCATTTCATAAGTAAAAACACCTAAACACCAAAGATCTATTTTTTCATCATATCCATTTCCATTGAGCATTTCTGGTGCTAAATAATCTAATGTACCACAAAGAGTTGTTCGTCTATTTCAAGAAAAAAATTATTAAACAATAAATAATGCATATAAACTCACTTATTAGCTTCACTACTTTCCGCTGACCAACCAAAATCAGCTTTCAAAAAAAAACGAAACGATAAATTAAATAAAAAAAATTGATTTATTTACCTAGCTTAAGAATTCCATAAACTCCAATGAGAATATTTTCGGGTTTAATATCACTAAAAATAGTTTGTTTCTAAATTAAAATATGAATGAAATTTGTTTAATTTACCGATGAATAATTTGTTTAGAATGAAGATATGATAATGCATTACAAAGTTGATAGACAAACTAAAGTGAAAAGAGAATCGAATTGTAATAATAAAAATTTTAATTTTACTCCAGCAGCTTCATTTTCTTGTAAAACTTTTTCTTTTTGCATACGTCGATATAATTCTCCACCAGGTGCATATTCAAGTAATAAAAATATTCGTTGTTCATCATGAAAAAAACCATAAAGACGCAGAATATTTGGATGTCTAAATACATAATCCAAAAAAATCAAAAAAAAACAGAAATCAAATTCTTACTTAAGACGACTTTGAATTGAAATTTCACTAATTAATTGTTTAGCTAAACGTGGAGTAGATATTTGATCTTTAATAATAGCCTGTTAAAGTATAAGCATTTATTAATTGGAAAAAATTAATTTATTAATACTTTTAAAGCAACAATATATTTGCTTTTCTTCTCGCGAACACAATAAACATGACCAAAACGTCCTCGACCTAGTGGTGCTCCAATTTCAAAATCATTGATTGTCCATTGACGCCTACAAAAAAAATTAAATATAGCTATAGTCAATCTAAAGAATCCGTTTTATTACTGTGATGATCCTGTAGTTGATTTCGATGCTGCTGATGTTTCATTTAAATGATTTGTAATTAAATCTGCATTGCTATATGATGATGATGATGATGCTCCAGGTTGTTTTCGATTTTCTTCATTATGTTTCTTAGAATCAACTGTTGAAAAATATTCCCTATGAACATTCAAAGAATAGAAAATTCTTCAAGAACAAAATAAAAGAAAAACGCTATTCTTACGAAGGTATTGGACGATTTTCAACATTTCGATTCTGAAGTATTGAACGTGAGGATGATTTCATTTTCTTCTTATCTAAATTAAATATTTGTTTGATCGACTAGAGAAAAAAATTGATTGAGTTAGTCTTTGTTTCGAGCCTCAGAAAAATCTTGACCAATGAAAACAAAGTGCGCCACATTCTATTTCATTATTTAATTGGTTCTATTAAATTTTTCTTTAAATAAAATTTATCTTATTATAGAAAAAAAAACTTAAGAAATAAATTTGAACCAAACAAAAAAATGTAATTTTAATACTATATATAGACTATTATTAATGGTTGAACTTAATGAGCATGTTGACATTACATAGACGACAGGTTCATTCTGAACAAATATGGCGACAAATGAACCATATTATACAAGTGAACAAATTTCAATACCAACAGAATTTCCTGATATCTTACTTCAATTTTCAAAAGCAGCAATACGAACACAACCGACAGATATATTAGCATGGAGTGCAGCGTAAATTTTACATTTCAACTTTATTTCCTATTATAATTAATCTGTTTAATTACAGGTACTTTCGAGCATTAGCAAATGGTCAAACACCGCCAGTAAAAGAACGTATGAGAGAAAAACTTCGATAAATATATAATTTTCAAATTAATTTTAGGTCTAGAAATGCCTGATGCTACTCAAAAAATTGATACTGGTTTAACTATGGGCTTGTTAAAAATATTACATAGACAGGTAAACAATATTTCTACATAGTTAATTATCATGTACTATGACATAAATAGAAATGATATATGATTCCTATTTTTTCTTTATTCAATGATTAACAAATAAATATTTTATATATCGATATACGAGTTGTATAGATTTTAATGAGTATGCTTGAATCTATCTAACAACCGTTCGTGACATGAAATTCTAATTAAAAAAACGTCCAATTATTTACTACGAGAATGTTTTAATGATGTTCTATTTCCTTTGTTTCAGTTTTCTTCCAAACGTACAATATCATTACAACAAATAAAAGAGAAATATGAGGATTTAGATATTCCACAAGAACAATTTGATGATATTGTACAAATCGGTTCATTCAATGATAATGTTCAATGGGATCATTTTCTAGCTATTGCTCTTACAAAAATATCTAAGGTAAGAGAATTTTATAGTTTAATATAGATTGAAAAGAAAAATAGTTTCGCTTTTTTCAATAGAATTTAACTGATACATTAATTAAAATATGTGAGTTATTAACAAGCGATCCACCAGGTGCTAATGCTCGTATACCATTTGAACAATGGAAAAAATTCTATCGATATTTAGCTGAACTTGATGGTGAGATTAGTGAAGAACGTATAAAACAAGTTATTGATTATTTAGCTAATGAATGGGTTATAAGACAAAATGATATGATTCATCCAAGAAATTTTCTTCATCCCGAATGCCCAAAACTCGAAGGATAAATTCGATTAGTTATACATTTAGACAGATAGAAAAAAACATATTTTACTTTTGTTGTTCGTATGTGCATTCAGTCAAAAATTGTTTATTTTTCTTTTTCTTAGTCATAATCTATTTCAGTGCTTTCGTTGTTGTTTTGTAATAAATTTAGAATGATTTATTTAATTGATATATACAATAAATAATTTTCTATAGATGTAAATCCTATATCTTACGAGAATAAATGATTAGACTTGGATAAAGAATCGATAATGTCGTCAAAAAACAAACAAATTGTTTATCATATAACTGAACGTAAAGGTGTTGACTTGAAGAAGATATTCCTAAAGTAAATTAACATGAAGTTTTAATTAACATTCATGTTGTTTCATGTAGTGATTAGGTATGAACGATACCACATCGGAATTAAGAATCGGCAAGTTTGATTCCGATCCCGATGCTTACAAAATTTAAGCTATACGAGTCCGATGCGATACTTAAAAAAGTCTTAACGATGCGGATCCGAGCCTAAGAAAACCCCGATGTAGCTCTATTAGCTTTAGGTAAAGGTTGTATCGTTCGTGGAGTTATTATTGAATCACCATTTCATAAAATATTTGGTTTCGATTCAGTATCAATATTTTATTATAAAAAAAAAATTTTAAATAATTAACAAGTCTGATTTTGTTTTAATTCATTTTTAAATTTCTCTATTTCTAGTTTAATTGTTTCCGGATCAGTATCAAGTACCCATTGAAAAAATTCATCTTCAGTTTTACCAAAACGTCTTTCAAAATTTTCCATATGTATACGAATCATATTTTTTCGATCATCAATAATATCAGTAAAAAATTTTCCACTATATTTCTCTCTAAATTGTCGTTTTTCAACACGTGCATTAAGTCCTCGATTATATTCTTGTTGTTTATCAAAATAAATTAATGCTTGTTGACGAACATTAGAAATAAATTCATTTTTATCATCAGTTATTTCATCTTTTGGAATTTGTTGTTCATTTAAAAATGCAATAAATTTAATATAAATGGGACGTTTAGATGTACGTTGTCGATGAGCATGATTAAGCTGATCTTCATCAAAATAGAAACGACGAAAATATTTTCCATTAATAATCCATTGAAAAAATTCTTTATCATTCTCAAAACCTTTTACATATTGTTCATAATCATAACCGAGAAATTCAAAAATTTGTTGAACATTTGTTGATAAAATTAATTTTGTTGATGTTGTTGTTGGATCAAATTCTTTCGTATGTACATTCATCCAAAGACCTTGTATACCATATTTTAAACCAATTTTATGACATATATTTCCAAGAAGACCACCTAAATCTGAATAAGAAAAATAGACAATTGCATTATCATATTGTTCTTCTGGTACAAGAATAAAATCAATTTGAAATTGTTCAAAATCAAATGAATAAACATCACCATTATGAACAATTTCAGTTGGATGAAATAAATCTTCAATTAATTTTTGAATTTTTATTGAAGGTGGACATACAATAAGAACATCAAGATCACCAAATGATTCTTTATATGGAAATTCTCTAGGGACATCACATTTAGTAATATATCCTCGAATTTTATTTAATATACGTTCTTTTAATACATAATATTCATCACGTGCATAACGACGAGTTACAACTTTTTTTAATGCATTTCCACCCATGATATTGTTTTTGTTTTATTTAAATTTCTTCACATTTTTTTAAGTTATATATAACAACAACAAAAAAACAAATCTCATGCAATCGTTATTGCACAATAACCGTCAGAAATGATGACATGATGACTCATACTGATCATAAACAAGAAAAGGAAATGATGTATCGATGATTCTTTCTCAATTCATTTTCTTGACTTGCTTATGAATATCGTATCGAACATTTTAATCTGATATGAAAGTTTATTTGAAAAAGTAATCTATAAAATCATCAATTCTACAATAAAACATAATAATATATCTCATTCAAAAGCGTTATACGCAATCTTTTGATAGTTTTATTCTCAAAATCAACGCATGCTGGGCTATTCTCTAATAAAAGTACTAGATAAAATATGGCAGGATTATATAAAATAGAAGGAAAAACATAAATTAATGTTCAAGAATACGTAAATTGCCAGAAACAATTTTATTTTCTAATATAGCACCGGGTGGTACATCAATTCGATCACCATGATTTGCAATAATAATAACCGTACCCTAATAAATATAAGATTTTAGAAATAATATATGTTTCTGAAATGATTACATACACGTAATGAAACACCTTTGCCAAATGTAACATCACCAGATACAGTAAGACTATCAAGTTCAAGACAATCGGGTATACTTTGAAATCGTGATAGAAAATCTTTAACCTTAATAAAACTTGTTCCCAATTTAACAAGTGGTACTGAAGGAAATGAACGTTGAGAATTCATAACTAAATTACCACGATTAAGTGTGAATAAATTTGACATTACAAGTAATAAATCTGATGTTGTTTTAACTGGAAGAAAACGACGACGTGGAACATTAATACCTTGAGCTCCTTCAAAACTTTGTATTGCTGCACCACTAGCTGTTTCTAATTGAATAACATTAACACCTTTTTCCATAGTCTTTAAAAATCAAATCATTATTTATTTTTTCTTTCGAAATAACTATTTTTACTTTATTATTAACAATTATTTCCATATGTAATGTTTTATCTTCAACAACACGTTTTATAGCTTGAAGATTGATCCATAAATTATTTGTATTGAAAATTCTAATAATAATTTAATAAATAAAATTTTAAAACTATTCGAATTTCTTTTTTACCGAAATTTACTGACACTTTTAAATTCATCCACATTTTCTTTTGGTACTTGAGCAATTTCAAGTAATCGTAATTTATTTTGATATTCAATTAAAGTACCACCCTATTATATTAATAATCGAAAAAAAGAAATAGATTTTTTTTTTGTTTTTTTTACTTTAACATCTGCACGTGTTTTATCCGTTACTTCCATAACAAATTCATGCTTAGTTTGATCAGTCAATAAATGTTTAAGAATATCTATTCAATAATAAAAATATTTATACGAAATAAAAAGATAATAAATCTTACATAAATCAACAGTAGCTCCAAGATTATCAATATTACTTAAAAACATATATTCTTTTCCTTGTTCAATAAATTGATCGAGTAAACCTGATTGATAAAATGCTTGATAGATATCACCATGACCGGGTGGATACCAACATTCATTTTCTGAACCTTCAATACTTGTTGCAACCGGTAATAAAGTTTCACGATCGAGACGTGGATATCTAGCAAAATATTTCGAATAAGAAAAGCATAAAGATTCACAAAACTTACTTTGATTGATTAAAATTATAAATTTTAACTGATACATGACTATATTTTTGAAGGACTTTTTCTGTTTCGTCATGTGTATTAAAAGAATTCATTAAAACTAATGGTACATCACAACCATATGTACGATTGAGTTGCTAAAAAAAATATTTAATAATTTTTATCGAAACTTTTTAGAAAAAAATTAAATTCTTACTTCAAGTTGTTGAATGTTTAAATCTAAAAATGTTAGACCACTACGTACAGAAATAACACTTTTTGGTCCTTGACAACCCATTGTTGTTCCAAGACCACCATTGAGTTTAACAACAATTAATTTATTTAATAAATCTTTAGCATCATCAATATTTGCTTCTAATAATTTTTTGTACGCAATGACCTTGACAAGCAAATTGATTATAGAAGAAATTATATCTAGAATTTTAACATACTGTTCCTTCTGGTGGTGGTTGAATTTCTTGCCAATCAATTGATGGTTGATCAACATTATCGAGTAAATAACGACTGAATAATTGTTCAAATCCATCAAGTTCTGCTCGTGTATTCTTTACAATGATTATTCAAAAGTAGATTTTATGAATTTATATCAAAGTTAAATACAAACTTTTTGTGTTTGTGATTTATCAGTCAATACAAGTTTATTCACTGATTTTTGAAGACGTGTTAAAGCATCTCGCTTTGTTAAATCTTTAAATTCAGCAATATCTGTTTGACTTGGTGTTCGTTTGTGTAAAGGCTAAAAATAAGAATTTAAAATACAATTATTTAATATCAATATTCAAATTTACTTTATTCATCGGTAATACTTTTGGTTGTGTGCCTGCCATTTTTAATAAAGGTTATTGAGTACAAAAAAATCTAAAAAATTGAAGTAAATTTATTTCTGGGTATATAATCGATAATCGTAGTTCTAATCCAAACAAAAACAATTCTGGAACACGTGATTCCAAAGAAAAGAAAAAATTCCAGATTATTCCTATATAGAAGTAATATTTACCAATAGGTAAAACTGTTTCTACTCATTGATCGGTAAAAAATGTAAAATAAACTTTAGTTTTTGTTTACCGAAGAAAAGTATATATTTTATTTTCAAGGGTTTCATTGTACACCATAGGAGAAAAGAATAAATAAAAACATCAATGGAACAATGTTTGGAAGAGGTCGCCATTACACACAGATCTTAGTGGAACGACATTGATTGGAACTAATATTAAAAAAATGTGTAAGAAAAAGAGATCAGATTTTATCCAAGTTAGTTTGATTATTTATAAAAATTAATTATCAGTTTTTGAACGTCGCTAATATATGGATTATTCGTGAATAGAAATGTAACGAACGCAAGTTGTTTATTTGATTAGTACTAAAATAAATGAACTGAAGCAAAAAATTATCACATTCAACCATTCGATGAATACACTACTAATGTCTCTTTTCGTAGTTGTTTTTTAATAGTATAAAAATCTTATTATATTATAATTTGTTTGTTTGATGCATGAAATGAAATATACTTTTTTGATATTGTTCATCAAAATATGTAAGTACTATTAATAGGATATTTACAGTTAGATAAACATGTTTAACTAGAATGTCGAAGAAATTATCATGTTTGATAATGATTGTTATACATATAATTGTTTTCTATAAAAATAACTTTTTTTTATATGATTAAAAAGTCGTTTTTGAAATTGATCAAAAAGTATCTTGAGTATTGATTGAACTATTCTCCAGATATGCTAAACAGTATAGGGAAAGTAGGTTATAACTATTTTTAAATATAAATAAAAAATGATATAATTACCTTATTTGTTATTATAAAAGATTTTTTGTATATCTTGTGATATTATTTTTATCATGAATAGGACTATTCAAATGTTGTTTAATTTGCGGTATAAATAAATCTGGAGCCTATGTATATTGACATTTTACTCACAATCATCCATATTCTCAATGATTGAATTTAAAAACTCAGAAAAAAAACTTGTTAAATACTTTTTTTCAATACTTTCTACAATATATTATTTCATCATTTTTCAATAAATGACATATAAACTGATAGATAAGTGTTTGCTCTATCCTAAAAACTAAAAGATATAGTTTTGTGGGTGTGGGTAAATAAAAGATGAATCAACACCCACACCCACACCCACACTCACCCGTTCTTATAGTACATTAACAGGTAAAAATGATTTAACTTTACTTTCGGGAAATAGGCACAGTGAGTATAGAGATCAAGTTTTAGATCCAAATTGGAATAAAAAACCAGAAAAAAAGAGAATAGATTTTCATAATGATATTTTAGCGCATTTTATCTACACACCTAGTTTATCAAGTTTCGGGGCAAAATTTCATTCACTATGGAACGAGATATTTGAAGATACTCCTCTTAGTGACATTTCAGTTATTTTTGCACATAAATTAACAGATAATTTGAAAAACATTCTAGTACATAAAAAACCATCAAAATCAGTAGTTAAAAATATAGTTGAACAAATAGGAGAATAAAGATATTCGCGCTTGTTTCTTTCTTTTTTATGTTTCAGATATATCATCGATAACATCGACTCATCGATGAACATTATAATTATTTTGTAGTTTTTTCATATATGTTTTTTATATATTTAATTTTTGTGAATTTTGTTTGTAATAAGGATATAGTAGTGATTAGTTATCCCCATGAGGTGACCTACACTTTTGAGTTGAATAGATAAAAAATAACAAATTGACCTATTGAGAAGTTATTGTAAAAGAATTAGACGAGAGTAGACAATAGACAGTAGAACATAGACAACGAAAAGGTATAAAAGGAAATAGAATTGACCAGATAGATAGATATTGTCTGAAGAGAATCAATATTCGAAACGCGTAACACTTGTATTAAATTAAAATTATTTATTTATTTATTTTTTCAAATAAAATTATTTAAAAAAACATTAAATTTATCTTATTATTTTTTCTACTCTCGTCACTACTCATATCTATTACTTCATTTATTTCTTTATTTCTTTACTTACTTCTTTATTTACTCATACCTACTTCTTTCTTTCTTATCTTTATCTTTATTTTTCTTCTTCAAATTCCATTTCGCTTAAATACGTATATATATATTTCTATATATATATATATATATATATAAAATATTAAAAATAATATAAAACATTTATTAAAATAATTAAAAAAATTTGATATTTATCATTACTTACTCATCTAATACTTACATCTAATACTTATATTATTATCTTGTTGATTCACCAACATTATATCCACACCCACACCCTCTTGTGAAATGTAAGCATAACACTATATAATTCAGATTATATAGCAGTTTTTAGCTTCTGATCTTTGTGATATCTAATCATTTAGATTAAAGCCATCCGTAGATCCTCATAGCTGAGGTGAAACTAGTCATGGTAGCTAGACACACCCACACCCACACCCTCAAGATAAGTGACATTAAGAAACAAGAAAGAGAAACAGACACATAGTAAGTAATATCGATATAGTGTTCTGGTGTATAAATGATCATTAGAAAAAACTGTTATTTGAAATGTGATTATTGGTTTTTTGTTCTATTTATACTATCGTTGAGATATATGTGTTGGTGTTTGTATTGAACGTTAATATAAGTGTTGCAACCGATGCTCCTGAAGTGCCAGCTGGTACTGAACCTGCTTGATTGTAAGAGTACTGTTGATATAATGAACCACCATCATCTAAAACAAATTAATTAATAATCAATACCAATAATATTAAAACACAGTTACTTTGAACACCTATCGTCGCCGTGGCACCTGTGCTGGACACTTCATAATAGTAATATCTAACAATCCCTGGGCTATTCTCATAAAACACTATTTGAAAATGGTAAAGCGGATTTTCAACATCATAAGGAACTTCCTTGAAATCGAAGACTAAATTTCTGTTCGGAGATGTTCCAATTGTACCGTAACTGATGGATTGAGATGAATCTGTTTGTATTTCAAAATCATACCAAAAACCAGCAGCGATTGGTCCAGGACAGCTAGTTGTATATGGTAGCATATTGTTCGTAGGGCCTAAGGGACAATTGCCAAGAGTAATACCCTGCGAATTAGAAATAAATTCTATTATATTAAAAATTGACATAAAAATAGCAATGACATCTTCAAAGTGTTATATATCGGGGAAGCTTGTCAAAACCACAGAAAATCAGAGTTTTTCAAACTATAGACTCAGAAGAGAACATATTTAAGTGTTAAATTAGTTTAGATCCCATCCTTTGGCCATAAGCAGACCACGATAAGGTATGAAAAACTTCAAAACGACTCATCCCCTCACGCCTTTATTTCCAAGATTTCAAAATTGTAAGATAAATGTGAATCACGCATCAAACATATATCGGTCGATTTCATTATTTAAAGAGACACAGAATGAAGAAACAAAAACTTGACCGAACTCATTACCAGGTGTCTGGTATGTTCGAACAGGTACAAGAGAGCGCCGTGCTTGTCCACAATGTCGACTTTCAGCGATGGTCTCTGAAGAAACTATGGACACGTCTTTACATACTTTTGTGTCTTCAAACGACTGGTTGTACATTTTCACATACAGCTGAAATTTTTTCAAAAGGGATTTATAAAAGTGTTTTCATCATACACGATTTCTGCTTTCAAAAATATGTATTCGTAACATCCTTTACAATCTTTTTCAGATTCAATACTTGTGTTTTTGCATCGGCACAGGTTAGTTTGATGACTCTATTACAATATATATCTTGATACTTATACAATAATAATATGTTCCTACGGATAGTAAAATCGTTGTTAAACAGTTGGGTCGCCCAAAAACATTGTATGTTGAGAAAAAGATTCAAAAGTAACTTTATCAGTCGAAAAGCTTCGGTGTCAATAAGCAAAAAGCACTTACGCCATTACAGTTGACATATGGGGTTGTAGTCGAATAACCATACATTGAAATAGCAAAAGGCACAGTAACAGCCAAATTTTCATCATCTCCAAAACGTGTAACACCCCAACCACCAGTAGGTGTACCACCGACTAGTACCACACTAGATAAGGCAGGCATAATTCAAAATTTGAGCACAATGGTTTTTTACTTTTTTGGCATCGTTAGATGGACCCGATCGAGTTACCCATGCAAGTGTTGTTTTTAATGTTTTCGGACCGATATTTGTGAAAAAAAATCGCAAAAACTTCTTTTACACAATGCGAGTTTTCTATACAGTCTTTCAAAACAAGTCTTTGAGAAACTTTTTACACAAATATAGATTGAAAAACATTAGAAACAACATTTTCAAAGGTAACTCGACGAGGTCTATTCAACAATGCCAAAAAAAGTGATGCTCAGATTCTAAAGCTCTCCTACCTTAAAGCGGCGCAACTACCACCCAGACACCGTTCAAGAGTGGGAGCACACACCATGCCAAATGAACCACAGTTATTAGAATCGGTCAGGAGATTGACACATGTGCCAGATGGAGTACGAGTATATCCAGCAGTACATGGCACCGGCGCTAAAGAAAACGGTAATAGGTGTACTTTCTGTTAAAACTTCGGACATTTTGTATGTTTACTAGAGGGTGTGGGGTGGGTGTGGGTAACTATATTCTCTTAACTCACACCCACACCCACACCCACTCCCATTCCAAAACATAATCTTTGATGGATGGCAGAGACTGATATACTACCATTACTGTTGCTCTTTTCTCTCTGTCATCATCCTATCTCGTTCTGATAATGAATGTTTTGCGTTCTCATTTTTTTTCGTGCTCTTTTATCGTATGTAGATGTTATTTTCTCATTTTTCATTTACAAGATATAAGTGCCATCCAAAAAAGTGACTCATTTTAGTTTTACTCTTCTTCATTTCAAAACGATTAATCTATTAAATGTCCTAAAGATTTTCACTGATTTTCTTTAGAAAGATCATCTTTTCGAATGCTATGAAAAATTAAACGAGAAATTTATCTATTCTTTTATCCCATGAATAAGGAATAGGATCGTTCTAAACGCACTTTAATCTGTTTCGTAATATTCAGATCAGATTAGATAACTAGTACACAAAACAGAAAAAAATGTTGCAACTTCTGATATTTCACTGTTCTCAAGAAAACCGATTGTCGAATGTTTCATTCTTGTTCTCTCATCCCATATTGTAAAAACTCGATATCTTAGAGAGAAAGCCGTAGGTACACAAATTCTTTTGACCCTTTTCATACATCATTGAGGTCTATCTATGGCTAAACGTTTGGCTTTAAACTCTTTAACCACTTCAGGAGATTCCCTCGTAAGATGAATACTATTGACACCACCAAATGTTTCTTCTGAAACATTCGTTGGAGTAATAAAGCTTTACTTATTGTAACGTGTTCATCATCAACTTTAGGATATTTCATTCTTCGAGTATCACTTTCCTTCGAAAACCGAATTCTCTCAAGCTCTACAGTTAATCTACTATTCAAATTATTTGAAAACAAGACTTTACCGTCTGCTTTGTTGGAAACGATAACTACAACTGGTTGGGAAGTTCTATAAATATCACTTCAGCATAGGATTTTCTCAAAAGTACAACACTCACTATCATACATAAATTTTTCATGATTTACTAAGGCATACTAAAAGTAATCAGAGCAGTCCTCAAACTTCATATAAAAAGCTTTAAGAAACTTTCTCTTTATATAGTCTTTAACAGAAGAGAACATTCTATTTTCTATGTCGTTCAATCATACTCAAACCAAATATTATACTAAAAAAAATCGAATAAGATCTGTTCTATTCGTATATCTAACGCTTAAACTAACACTTAATTTCGAAAACGATCCAACAGTCTTTTCTTTTCAAAATAAACTCTACTAAATACAAGATGCAGAGCTACGGGTTGGTGTGAGTTCATGAAGGTAAAGAAGAAGTATTCCTCCCCACACTCACCATTACTTCTGGAACTTTTTCCAAACTCATGCTCTGTTACCTTCTGTGAACCGAAAGAAATAGTCAAATTATAATTTCACCATCGTCGAGAACAGAAAGACTAGTAGAAAAAAATAGCCAGTTAATCTAAAGCTCTTCCACTGCACTACAATATCGTGCAAACAACATTTCCATAAAACCTCTAATAACGCTAATACCCTTCAAGCTCAGATGTATATCGAAAACAGTGAGAGCGAACCTTACCAATCAACAGCTTTAAAGAGGCAAAACTCAGCATCTATCAGAGTGCCATTCGCGATTCTCTCTCCTAACAAAATGAAACATTACTTACGGATTTCGCAATTGGTGCCAGAATAGCCGGAAGGACACTAAACCAAAGAAAGTATTGCAAGATTTCGTCATAATAATTGATCAACTTACTATGCATGTATTCGGTGCCGAACATATATGGTTGCTATCACAGGCTGGATTATCACATACAGCTAAAATAAATGTATGAAAAGTAAATAAATTCTATGTCTTCTCCATAGAGTCATTTTTGTATTTAAAAGATAGTATGAGTCAACGAAATGAGACATTACTTACGTGTTGCACAATCAACACCATTATAGCCGGTAGAACACTAAAAACGAGAGGTTATTGCAAGATTTCGTCAGAATAATCGATCAACTTACTGAGCATGTATTGGGTGCCGAACATATATGGTTGCTATCACAGGCTGGATTATTACACACAGCTAAAATAAATGTATTAAACATCACAGAATGCTATGTCTGCTAGGTCGAGTGTTTTTGCATTTTTTAAGTTAGTGTTAGTGTTAGTGAAGACAATAAACGACTACTTACGTGTACAGGGTGGACCACTATAGCCCGCAGCGCACTAAACAAAAGAAATCGGTGTAACACTACAATATAATAGTTGATCAACTTACTGTGCATGTAT